CGTCGGGCCTGTCCTCTGGGGCAGAGTCCGCGCCAACGCCCTCTGGGGCAGAGTCCGCGCCAAAGTTGGCTGCATGGGCTCCACTGTCTGGTGACGGGTGGCGGCCCGCACGGCCACGGCCACGACGCCCGCGTCTGCGGCGCGGATGGCATCTGCGAGGGACAAAGCCTCAGCGGCAACAGGCAGGCCGCCATAGGCCTCAAGCAACACAGCCTGCGCTGTGGCCGGGAGGTAGCCATCACACGCGGAGCACGCCGCGACTGCCTCGCTGAGCGAAAGCGTGTGCACCAACGGGAGGCGTCTCAACGCGGCAGCGGACGCGACATCTCGTCCAAGGCAGCATCGTCGCTGCCCGTCGCTGCGGTGAAGAACATGGCATGTAAAGCGCCCGCCGGCACAGGCTCGTGCGCCCGTAGGGCAGCGACCAAAGCCCGCCAGCGGTGGCCCGCAATTGCGTGGGCGGCCCAACGGGCAGCCGCGTCCGCCTGCAGTGTGCCCGCCGCGGCACGGAAGAATTCCGCGCAGGGATGGCGCCTGACGGCGGCCCGCGGGAGGCCCATGGTGCGTGCGTCGCGGGTACCGGTCCGGCTGGCGTCGTCGGCGCGGCAGGTGGCGCGAACCCCGGTGTGGTGTCGCCGGCCGCTTGCGGCGCGGCGTCGCCCGGGCGCGGCAGCTCACCAACATGGTCTGGGGGCGCCAGCCCCGGGGCTGCGGGAAGGAGGACGCAGTCGCTGTCCCCCGCATCGCTCCAGAGACTGGGCGTGCGCCACCCGGAGGACGCCCCTACGAGGGCAGAGATGCATGGGCCTGGCGGCTCGCTGCAGGCCCCTTGTCCGATTCCAGCCCTGCCGCGAGGGCGCGCTCTCGCCGGGTCTCCGGCTCAGGCCCCGGGTTGCGGGCTTCGCCGACTCGGCAGCCCTTCCAAGGATCGCTGCCCGCGCGCTCGACCCTCCAAGCCCCCCGCCCCCCAGAACCAGCAGCCGCACGTTTTGTCCAGGCGCTGCGAAAACCCTCGCGCCACGCGTGCCGCCAAGCCTGACGAGCCGAAGCTAGCTCGGGCGTGGCCATGTAAAAAATCCCGTGGCGCCCAGTCCCCTCACCGGCTGCTTCACCGGTGGCCGCGCAAGGCCTCCGCGAGCGCGTAGGCGGCGGCAGCCACGTGATCCTGCTGGCCCTGGTGCTTGCCTTTGCCGTGTCCGGCATCCTTGCCCTTGCCCTTGCCCTTTCCCTTGCCAGATCCGCGCCGGCCGCGGGCGCGACGCCGGGGGGCGTCGGCAGCAGCAGGCCCGTCGTCCCGGCGGTCGCGGCTGCGGCTGCGGCTGCGGCTGCGCCCGCGGCTCCCGCTGCGGCTGTCCGCCGAACGCCGCCTGTGCAAACGCTCGGCCTCTTCCCTCGCAGCTGCGGCCTCGGCGCCCTGGAGGACAAACTCCGCCAGCTGTGCCAGCGCGACCAAAGCAGCCGCCAGGGTGCTGCGCAGCCAGGCCGGCGTGCGCCCCTGCACCGCGCCCAGCCGGTACAGTGCCAAGCACGGGGCGCACAGACCCTGGTGCTCACCTGCAGCCTGGCGGCATGCAGTGCAGGCAGCGGGGGCTGCTTCAGCCATAGCTTCTGGGCACAGAGAAGGGCAGCGAGGGGCGGAGCTGAAAAGGCTGCGACGGCAAACAGGAAGCAAGTGAGCAAGCAACAAGCCTGGAGGCCCAATTGATACAGAAAAAAGTGCTCAATTGCATTTTCGGAGTTCGAACGCTTTTTTCTGCCCGATTGGAAACGAACAGTTTTGAAGACGGCTTGGCCCGAAATGCGCACCGTGTTTCGAGCGCAATTCGGCGCAACTTCGGGCGCAATTTCGCGCAACTCGGGCGCAAATCCGCGCAACCGAGCGCAATTTTAACAGCTGCCCAAATTCTGGTCACTACACTAGCGCCAAGTCGCTGGCTCCCAGAAACGTTTCGGGCACTTTTTTCGCCAAAAACATTCGAGCACAAATTTCTGTATCAATTGGACCTCCAGGAGGAGCCAAGGCAGGCAATTTGGGGCCGCCCTGCCCCCCCCTCCCGCGCGACGCGCAAGCGGGGCAGCAGGGCACAAGCCGCAAGCACAGCGCAACGAGAGGGTTGCCCGTTGCGAGGGGCGGCAAGCACCGATGTGCGAGGCCGTTCGCGGGCAACGCGGCGGGCGCCCCGACTGGCGCGCCGCGCGCTCTCTGGAGGGCTGGGTTTCTCCGCACATGCGCGGGCGCACAAAGGCCGCCGGGAGCGCGCGATATGCGAGCGGCCCCAGCCGCGCGGATGCGGCCTGGCGCCCCTGCCCCGGCGATGGGGCGGCGAGCGTGGCGGCGCACCTGGCGGGCACGAGGAGCGCACGCCGGCGCGAGATCACGCGCCCGACTGGTTGCGCGAACTCCGTCTGCGCGCGCGCACAAGCTGAGCCGAAGCACTCGCGTGCTGTCGCGCATGCTCTTGCGGCAGATGCTCCTCGTTCGGGCCAAATTCATCACTGTACTGTTTGGATCACCCAGTCATGGTGAAAGGAGTAGGGGCTAAACAAGTAGCATGAGGCGGGAGTTTACAGCCAAGCGTCATGGTACACGGAAACATTGGCGGGCCGGGGGGTGGTAGAAGGCTGCTCAGCAAGTCCGGCGCGGACATCCCCACGCCATGGCCAAGCTCTCCAACTCCCTGGCGCCGCCGCGCGCCACGCACCGCGCCACCTCGGCAGCGGCATCCGCGCGGAGCCGGGCCGGGCGCTCGCGCGGGTCGCATCGGGAGGACCAGGGCTGCAAAAGGCCCGGGCGCCAAAGGGCAGCCGACGCCGCGAGGAGCGCCGAGATAGCGACTCCCGCGAAACAGCCCAAGCAGAACCACGCCCAGCATGCGCAGAACGGCCCTTGGCCACGAAGGTCCAGCGGCGGGCTGCCTGCAACGCAAAGCATTGCCGCGTGCGCCACGGCCTCGCGGCAAGTGGGGGGGAGCTGGGTCCACGAAGGCGCAGAAGCCGCGGCCTTCTGAACAGCCCATCTCACTCCAGCTGCGCCCAAGCGAAGAAAAACTTCCATGGGGGGCACCGCGCGGCCCGACGAAAGCACCCGACGGTCTTGAGCTTGAACCTTGAGCCAAAATACAATTCTTGAGCCAAAATGGCTACGGGGGACGCTGGGGGGAGGGGGCGTGACGCCACAAGGCCGCAGCGAGGAGGTCAAGGTCTGACACGCTCAGGCTGTCCGCAGTGGGGGCAGCCCGTGGCGGGTCATCACCCCTTGGAACGTTGGAAGGGACTGGAACGTCACTCCCCAGCTCCGGGCGCCGGTGGAGAAGCGCGTGAGAGCTTCCAGGCACGCTGGGAAGAGACATCGTCGATCAAAGTCGCGCTTGCACGCCGCCGCGAAGATAGCAGCGCTGCGGCTTGGTTGTTTTGGCCGTTGAGGCCGGGGGGGGGGGGCGGTGGAGTGACGAGGCAGCGCGTTTTCGCGCGAGCCAAAGCGCGAGGTTGGCCAATGGTGTCCTACGCAGCTATGTCGGCCTTTGATGCCACTTTCACCCAGCAGGTCAGGGCGACTCAACCATGCCGACGGCGCGCTCCCACCCCAGGTGAGCTTCTTCTTGCAGATGCAGGTGAGGCTCCCCTCACCGCTAATCGGCTGGCCCCGGGTGCCAATGGCCTGTGTGCTTCCCGTGCCCGGAGGCTCCCCTGACGAACCATGGCTGTAGAAAAAGGCGCGTGGAAAAAAAGACACGAGGCAAGCGGCGACTCAAAACAGCCAAGCAACCAGCCCAGGAAACCCAAAAGGCCACGGAATTGCGAACTGCAGAAGCAGGGCCAAGGGCGCGACGTCACGCGCACGTGCATGTTGCGGCTCGTACCAAGCAAAGTGGAAAGAGCTGGCAACACGGCCGTGTCATCCTCACAGCCGCGGTCGCCCGAGTGCTCCTTGACGATGCCTCGCGATGCGGCCACGGCGCTTGCGCTCGGCATGTGCCCTGTTTCTCGTCATCCTGGCTGCAACGAATTTTGCCGCGCAGCTGTCGCCAAGCAAAATAATGCCGACCCAGGCAGGGAGTGTTTGTTTTGGTGTGCTTGTGCGAGTTTGCTCGTGCAAGCAAACGTGCTCGTGCGAGTTGCTTGTGCAATTTCGACGGGTTGTTCTCTCGCCGCATCTTGCTACGCATCTCTCGTGCATCAAAATGTTCCTGTACTGCACTGCATTTTCCTGCGCGGGTGCTCATCTCGTGCATCTGTAAAAAGTTCGGGAGGAGAAAACCTTTTAGGGGAAACAGAGAGAGGCACCTGCGGCACAGCACCGCGCGGAAGAGGCGAACACGGCTTCTTCGGACAGAATCGCAGCAGCGCGTGCAAAACAGAGTCTTTAAGATCCCAGCCCGACCCAGAATCCCCGACCCAACTATTGCACGGTGGGGGACCCATTGAGGAAGTATTCCCCCGCCTCCCCGGCCGGAAAGGAGCGACGCACTCCTGACCAAACAGCACAAATCACCATCTGGCTTTGGTGGGGTCCACGCAATGTCTTGTTGCATTGCAAGCCGCGGAGAAAATCCCAACTTCTTCCAAAACTCAGCCAGGTGGCAAGGCCGTCCCGCCTCTCGCTTCAAAAATGCTTGGCAGCCTTTGGCTACAAGCGCCACCAGCAAGCCCGTGCCCGGCCATCCTTGAACCTTCTTTCTCCACAGGCAAAAGCCAAACACAGGTGACATGGCCCCACCCCGCTTGAACAAAACAGCAAACAAAACCAACCAAATTTCAGTGGGCAGAAAAAAGGCCCGCAAAGGCGCAGAAACTCAGTGGGCCGAAAGCGGGCCCGACGAAAAAACAAACCAAAGCGGTTGATAGGCATGCAATCTACAAACTCTAGAGTTCACTCGCTGTGCGCTGTTTAACGGAAGATGCCGGAAGTGCTGCCAGTCTTCCATGCGCTCGTTATGTTGCTCCCCCTCCGGCCTGTGATGATAGAATTGGGTCGCGTGCGCTTTGTGGATGTGGTGCAGGTGCGCAAGACACAGCTGCAGCAAAAGTGGCTCAATTGCATTGGTGCGACGGTCACTCTGCGGGTGTTGACGTTTTATTTGACGTTTTGCTGCGCATGTGGCGAGGCTCTGGGATGAGAGGGACGAGGAGGCGGAACGTTGACTCGCGTTTTTTTTTTTTTTTTTTTTTTTTTTTTTTTTTTTTTTTTTTTTTTTTTTTTTTTTTTATGGCATGCTCGTACGTTTGCTTCGTTTAAGTTGAGAACTTTAGGTGGAAGACCCTGCGAAGATGTCGGCAATCGTAGCGCCTCGGCCAATCAATCGATTGTGGACACCTTCTGAGATTTGCAGTGCTGAGTGCGCGCCGGTGCTGGGGATACTCTTCGCATTCCAATCTGACAGCAGATCAATTAGCATCTACTTTGTGGTTTAGATTCGTATTTTTGGCGAATTTGAGTCTTTTGAAGTGGGAAAGTGCCTTGCACCCCCTTTAGGGCAACACAGAGTGTTTTTTGCTTCCATGCTTGCATGCCCAGCTTGTCGATTTGCCTTTGTACATGTTGACGCTTTTCGCTGTTGGTCTTTGTGCCCAGGTGCAGATTGCGCAAGCATCTCGAAAGAGCCGGAAGGATTCCCAGACGTGGGGCAATTTGCTGGATCAAGCGTTGACGTCGCGCCACGGTTGCCAAATTTTGTTGGTCGGTCGGTCGGTGGGTTGGTGGTCGGGGACTTGGGCTAGCTGGGTTGGGTGGGTTATTCGGTTTCGTTTTTTTGGTCGGGTTGGCTTTGTCATGCTTTGTCAGTGTTGTTGGTTGGGTTGGGCTTGCTTGAGTTGGAAACATTTGTTTGGGAGCGCTTAGCTGTGCTGCGGGGGTGAGGCATGCAGAGCTGTCTTCACAAGATATGGCTTCAATCCTATGGTCCATGGCTGATGCGCGCTTCCACCACAAGGCCTTGGTGGAGGATTTTGTTCGCTCCCTATCTTTTCGAGCTGGCGTCAAGCCCATTGTGACGGCAATGCTGGCACTTGATCGACTCGGCCTTCCCACCGATTCACTGCGTGGGCAATTCCTTCAACAATTGAGCGGGCAGTGCGAAGAACTCAGCCTGGGAGATTTGCGCAGGGTCTTGATGGCCTTGGCACGTTGCTGCAAGGATTGTTCCGTGCAGCCCCAGTTGCTGCGAGAGATTTGCGATGCCACTTATGAGAAAGCAGATGGCTGTGACCCCCGTGATCTGATGTCGATTCCACAGCATTTGGGACGCTTGCAATACCTGCACAGTCCATTGCTAGCGAGGTCAGCCGATGCCATCTCCAAGTTGATTTCATGTCGCTTGTCAGTTCTGCCACTTGACGTGCTGCGGGCACTTGATGGCTTTATGGTGTTGACCCCACTGGTTGAAATCGAAGTTGCCAAGCAGCAGCTCCTTCAGCTGGCGGTCAAATGCCAGTTGCTTGCCGCTCACTTGTTGCAGACTGCGCCGGCCTCCGAGCTCTGGGCCATCGGCGCTCAGCTGCTGGGCTCGGAAGTTGTGAGCAAGGAAGTGTGGGCATTGTGGATATCAGAGGCGGTTCAACGACGCTCGGCAGAGAACCATCTGTCTCGCAGAATCTCCGGGGTGCGCCGGCAAATGATGAAACAGTGGGGCATTCAAAGCATGCCTGAAGGATTGGAGCTTGCATTCCAGCTGACCCTCCAGGGGAAATGAATGCGGTCTGAAAGAGTGCAGCATGAGCCCTGCAGCCCAACACATTCCCACGTGCGAGCGGCGCAGTGCCCGCTAGCCGGGGACGCACAAGAGGGGCGCAGCAACCTTCGAATCCCCTGCAATCTCTAGGATACGGCTACAAGGTAGACGGTTCTCACTGGCATGCCCTCAATGGAGAACGAGCTTGCCGAGCCACGGAAGTTAAAAGGCGTGAGATGGACACACCTGTATTCTCAGTTACGACATTGAAGAGGCTTCGAAGCGAGGCAGACAGTTGATTCCAGAGCTGCTTGCCAAAAGTCTCTTTCGCGGTGCCTGCACTCATTGCAAGCAACCCAGCATTGCATGGGATTCTTGATTCCACTTTGGCAGCCGCGCTCTGTCACAGCAATATAAACATAAAGCTGACATACCCGCCTGGGTGTTGCAGAATCAGGCAGCATCAACCCATCAACCCTACTCAGTCAAGCTCGTGCGACAGAGGATCAGACGCGGCACTCACATGCCAAACAAAAGCAAAGCGGTGCCGCTTGGCTGCTTCCATCAGTCGCCCCAATTTGGTGATGGATATTTCCCAGCTGCAGCCTGGGGCACCTTGACAGAAATCATGTTAGTCTTCCATCGGAAGCTTGGCGATTGCATGTGCTTGAAGGATAAGGAGGATGTGCTGGGCCGGATCCTGGATGCCAGGCCTTCTTGTTGCAATACCCGTGGAGTCCTTTTGTCTCAAAGGTTCTGCTTTGCAAAGGCATCCCTCCGGTGCTCTTCTCGGAGAGGACACGCTTCAGAGGCCTTCTCCGCTAGAATCACTGCAAAGGCGCGCGTGCGTGCTTGCATGGGGACAAATCAAACTGCATGGCTTGCCTCGCGCTTGGGCCCGAGACGGACGTGAGGTACAAGAGTTTGGTCAACCAGATCCACCCGGAGCGATGTGTAGACGCGCGTGCAAAGGAGGCCTTTGCCCGGTCTTCGGCTGCTTTCGTGGTGGCCTCACCGGCTCGCTCGCGAGCGCTGGGAGCGTTGAGCTTTGCTTTCTTGGGACCTAGGATGCTGTGTGCGCAATGGACTCGGGCTGCGCCTCAACCTGGGAGGCAGGGCCTTTAGCCAACATCCAGTCCTCATGGCGCGCAGTTTGACGCTTTGACTTGGGGTTCTTCGGGCTTTGAGTTCCTTGTGAAAACTTTTCCGTCGAACGGTTTGCAGATGCTTCAGTATGCGTCAGGAAGGCGTGCCTCCGCCACGGGAGCAATTTTAGACATTCAAGCCAAATCTCCCTGGAAGGTATCTTTTCGGCCTCCAAAGCTCGATTTTCCTTTGCCCGAATGCAAGCGTCTGATTGCCTTCAGAGCGCATGTGTGCAAGGTTGCAAAGTCACGGCCAGCCAGCCATGGCGCGCAGAGCCGTTGGTGGGAAGCGGCTTGGTGGGAAAGTTAGGCAGATGCGTGAAGAACTGTGGGGCGTATCTCCAACTCGCGCTGGAATCTTATTCTGGGCCACTTGCCGACTTTCCGTGGTTTTCTGGCAGTCATTTCGTACGGTTTGGTGCGGAAGGGGAAGCTGCCATGTATTGGAGGCCGCTCAAGAACTCAGGCCTGACTCTGCTTTCCCTTCAGCTTTGCGATAGTGGTGAGTAGTGTCTGATGAAACAAGCCCGGCAGTCATTGCATTGCGGAAGTTCCTTGTTACAAAGACCAACTGTGAACAAACCGCTGCCCAGCATGTTGTGGTGAGTGCAAGTGAGCGCATGACGCTGACCAACATTCATTGGCCCATGTGCCATGTCTTGCAAGGCTCTTCAGGCATGGGCATTGTTCTTTCATTGAAGCCCAAAGCCATCAGTTTTTCCTTGGAGCAGCTGTTGCGCTCACTTCAGGCCATTTCATTGTTCTCTGGAACAAGTGTGCCTTCCTTGTAAACAACCGTGCCCCTTCCAAGAAAGACCCCCCCAAAAAAAACGAAGAAGAAAGGAAGCATGGTCCTTTCGGGACAGGTATATAGCAGGCATGCAACACCTGGCACGTATGCTTGAAGTGCGTGCAGCAGGGGTGCCAGCTCCATGAGCACCCCAACCTTTCGTTGGAACGTTGGCCACTTGCATCCTTGCATTTTGAGTCCACAAGGTTAGCAGCGTGGCCGAGATGCAGAATCTATTGGATTTTCGCATGGCGGCCACCAAGGCTCTGTATTCAGAAATGGCTTGCAGCCTGGATGCTGCCGGTTGCGAGCAGTTAGAGCAACAAATTCTGAGTGCAGAGAAAGTGAGCGAACATCTAGATCGGCTTTCAGAGATAAAGCGCAACCGCTTTTGGCCCGTTTCACGTGGGACACCTACACCGCAACAATCTGCCTTGCGTTATATTGATATCCTTTGTCACCTGCGAGGGGTGCACTGCTTCGAGCAACTGCATGGGCGACAGTATCACCACGCTGCAGACCTGCAAGCGGCAACGCCGCTGACACAGCTCGGGGATTTGTTGCGGAGGTGTTTGCAAAGAAGCGCTCCATCTGAGTTGTCAATGGCAGCATCTGACGGAGAAAGCGATACCGATCCACTGGACAGGTTTATGGCCTCCATTGAGGCCGAAGTGTCCTTGCCGCACTCGGGTCGTGCGGAGGTGAGCCAAATTCTGAGAGAGGAGCCGCAGGGCTTGGCCGACTCTGGACGGCCACGCTTGCGCCCCACGGCGACGACCAGCAGCACCCACCTCACTGCTGAAGGTGCCGTCGCAGAGCAGCGGGCAGCTGCTTCAGCAATGGCCGCTGCGGATGGCCAGGCCATGCGAGGGGTGTGTGAGGGCGCCAACCTCCCAGCAATCAACAGGGTACTCGTACCTGACATAGGGACCCGTTCCCAAAGGAACAGGAAAATGATTTCCCAATCCTCCTGTCAGGTTCCATGTCAACTGGTGGGAGGGTAAATGGTTAGCAGCCCTTACCGTGGGTTGTTGGGAAACCAGGATGAACCATCTAAGTATAGTTCTATTTGGGAGGTTTGGTACAATACATCCCCGTTGTAGAAAGCATTTAAAACCCAGGGTGCAACGTTGACCAAGACATAGCAGCAAACACAGCATTTGCCTGGGTGGTTCGGGGGGGTGCATAGGGTTGAGCAATGAATGCACTTAGGAAGTGAGCATCGCAAACTGTGGATGGACGAAATCCTGCACCACCTAAGAAGCCCTTGAATAATGATTCCGTTGCAGATGTGTCTCATAGTGGTGCAGGACTTTGTCCATCCACAGAATGATCCGTTGTCTGGGAAGGGAACTTGCTCTCTCGGTCAACCTGCTCATGGCCAGTCTCCTTATAACCGATGCTAAATAGTGGTTTGGGTGCATAATGTTCAATTTCCCGAGTAGAAACAAAGAGGGCGCTCCAAGCAACTCCATGAGCAGTGTTGCTGGGACACAAAGTCGGTTCATTCATCGCCCGGCGAGGCCAAGCAGCAGCGCCAGCTGCAAAACCAGCTGCTGGGAGACTTGGAGTCTGACACGGCCTTAGTCCTGGGGTAGGTGGTGGGGTTGGGGGATTGGGCACGCTTTTGATCCTGTGTCCAGGAGTCGGAAGCAGAAGGAAGCTAGCGGCCAAGCATTTGAAAAGCTTGAAAAGCCTCTCATTGCAGCTGGGAGCAGCGAATGCCATGACAAGGTTCGCTGTTGGCGCGTTCTGCGGCTCTTGGTATCCGCTTGTGTCTCTTTGCGTTCGCTTCATTTTGCCTCTGTTGTGCCTAACCTGTGTGTGCGAGCACGTTGGTTGGAGTTGAAGTCTATCACGCCCGCCCAGTCGTTTCGTTGGATGGATATTCGCTTTGTGCGCGTTTTGCAGCCACGGCAGCCCAGCATTTGAGTGAAACTCCGAGAGGGGCCGGTTCAAGTGTCTAGCGCACTGGTTTTTGTTGCATCTTCTGTTTGCCGGTCGCTTCTGGTCGCTTCCGTGTGCACCATGGGAAACGTCCTGTCGGACAGCAATCTTTGCTGCGCCCGCTCCTCCAAAGTGAAGGCGCGTTTGGGCGTCCTTTGGGAGGCACGAAAAAGGCAGCGAGTCGTTTCCAGGCAGAACTCGAGAAGTTCAAGACCCGCCTGCAAAGCTGCAACAAGAAGTTGGACAGCCTCGTCCAGGCACAACACTGCTTCATGCCTTCCATTTGCGACTCAATAACTGGTTGCCTTTTGGCCAGGAGGAAATCGACTTGCTATTCGGGGCAGTGGATGTGGATGGCAGCAATGCCTTGGATGCCGAAGAGACGAAAGTCTTGGTAGGCCAGGAATGGGTGGTCAAAATCGGGGGCCCCCGGCTGCTCGGCCCCAAACTGGGCAGGTTTCTTGGCCACCCAGCCAACCCCCGAAAGGAGTAGCTTCAAACAAGCGCACTCCCCCCAGTCCGTGTCATGCCGTGCGCAGCTAGCTGCGCCTTGCGGAAATTCCCGAGAGGCAAGCTGGAAGAGAGGGGCAGCTTGGCATAGACGGCAGGGGATGTGGGCTAGCATGGTCCTTCAATTCTCGGGCGGTTTCACTTTTCCTGACTCGCTCAAGGATTTGAGTTTGAAGGGGACATCAGTGACTTCGACAAAGACGGTGATGGGAACTTCGACAAGGATGAGGCGCGGGATTGGCAATTGGCAGGCATGGCATGGGCATCTTTTTGAGGTGTCATTTGCAGTGCGGGCAGCCCTGCGAGAGCGCCCGAAGTTGCTGGGACCAAACGATTTGCACGACGTTTGCACTGGCCAAGCGGCCAAGCCGAGAACTCATGAAGCAAAGCTGAGAACTCAGGAATCTGGAACTGATCTCCAGCAAGATTGAAGACATCGACATCTTGAGTCGTGATGCCTGGGATTTGAAGCCTTGCTTAACCGTTCTCTGTTTCAATGCTTGCGTGGGGCGGGGTGACAGTTCTGACTCCTAAGGATTGATGTGACGAGGGAGTCGTGGCCGCAAGCTAGCAGCTACTGGCAGCTACTAGGTGGCCACACGAACAGCTGCGCAAATGGGTGTGACCACCTGACTCCAAACCAGCACCGTTGGGCTGTGACAGGAAAACACGGCAATGGACGCATCTCTGGGGTTGTCAGAACAGACCCTTTTGCCTATTTTAAGGCACGCCCACAAGCATAGTGCCCAAACTGCGAGAAATCGCAAGCACAGTCTTCAGACTTACATATTGAAGTCGTCCCTTGCATTGAGACATTATGAAGGTCAGGCTATGTTTTGTGTTCTTCGAACGTTTTCCGAGCTTTGCGATCCTGATGCCCACGTTTGGGACAGGGATAGAGGGTCAGCCTTCCATATTCCTCGTTGCTTTCTTGACGTTTCTGGAAGTTCGGCAGGCTCGCGATTCGCGAGGACGGGTTCATCAGTATCCCAGAGCTATCGATGTTCTACAGCGACTTAGGGAAGGCCTGCGCGCATGGGAGTTCCGGCAAGGCCTAGGCGCACGGCCAATTGATTCTTGGGCACTGCTCATGACGCTTCTGTCAAAGTGGGTGCTGATACGTGGGATTGCTTGTGGCCGTGTGAAGGTCATGGACGAAAAGCCGCCAAGCTATCAGGACATATTGGAACTTACGCGGAAGTCGCTTGGTCAAGCAATGTGCGGTTGGTGCTTTGCTGTCAGCATGTCGTCCGAGTGTCCGCCAGCAGATCATACTTGAGGTACGACACAGACAGCGACAGCGTGCTAACGTATGAGGAGTTTGAGATGTTGTTCTGTGACTTCCTATGCAGGACTGGGTGTGGAATGACAAGGCTCACAACATGTGAAGTTCCTTGTTTTCTCAGGAACCTATACAACTAAACCCGGAACACGAAGCAACGCCTGCAACAGGTATTTTCATGCCTGCCTCCTAGCGCCAGCCTTTTGCTGCAGGACTGCTTTCAAGCCAGAGCAGTTTTCAGTTGATTCGGGATCTGACACGGAGAAGCCATAGTCACCAGCTTAAGCTCGCAGGTCTGAGATTCTGAGTTATGTTTGCCCCACTTTGCATGAGGTTGAGGTTGGCTGGTGTCCCGCAGCGCCAAGATTTGAGCCTTTCGAGCGCTTTGACAAACTTGGGCCAAGTCGCAATAGCGTAAAATTCTCCACATTCCCAATGTAAGACAGCCGGAGGTGTGTTGTCTCTTGGCTGCTTGAGGCCCAAGTTTGCAACCTGTTAGTCCTTTTCAATTCAATTCGCCGACCGTACGTTGCTGCGGCACTTCGCAACTATCAAGAGAACGGAGAACTTCGTTGGCACTGGGATTTGCGTCGCAAGCAGGTGTGAAACACCAGCCTCAATACATGACATGTCATGGCAGGCAGCAATTTGTGAGAGTAGAGCCTCCGCTTGCTTGCTTATAGGAGCGGTATTTTTCATTGTCTTCACTTTGTTCGCCATCCTGATTCAGAGAGTTTCTACAGGTTCTCGTTATGCAAGGCTTTGCCACGTTGCTGCCCTTGTCAGCCTTGCTGTGAGTCTTGAAACCAGGGACGCTCCAAATGAGTTGCCCTCAAAACAAGCCCACCAAGAAAGGGTACCCTCAAGAAAAGACTTACCGCACGTCTCACCTGCCCAGTGCGATCGATTGGCTTAGTCCCCACTAGAGGTTGTAACTTACACTTGCACCAGCGTATCTAACCCCCTTTGACGCGAGGAAATCGAGGAACAATGGCAGCGGCGAAAGTGGCTGGGGTTGTCCTGGCACTGCTTGCTTTGCCTCTCCAACACCCCGCTGGTCAAATGATTCCACGTACTTGCAAAGCAGCGTGGCCTGTTTCCAGCGCTTGCTGTTTGCACGCCCTTAAGTTGAATAGCTCATGTTTGCATGATGCAGGCCCGCCGACATCAGAGTCAATGTCGCCAGTGTTTATGGCCCAAGCCAAGTTAGCTCGCCCTGTTTGTGTGTGTGCGCCTGTGTCCCTATTTTAAGGGAAGGCCTTTTGGGGTGGCTTTAAAAGGGGGAGCAAAAGGAAAACCCCAATGTCGAGGGGTCCAACCTTATAGGAGACACACCCACAAATGGCTTGCTGATGGACGATGGTCACAACTTGATCTGCACTATGACTTGGGGCGGTCCTGAGTCAAGCGGAGTGCGCGAGCACCGATGGTTGCTTGGTTTGGTCCCGCTAATTTCCTGCATCTTGGCCTCGAGATTGTGCATGCCTTCAGGTGGAGAGCCCGAATCGGGCGAAACATGGCAATGCCAATGTGTTGAAACAACCGAGGCGTGCGAACTTGATTGCTGAGCTCGCTTGACGCAGCATCTCTCTGTTCAATTTGTGGGGCTCAAGATGTGCGACGCAGCGATTGCCGCACCAAGTCATTTGAGCTTCAAGCTTGACAGGTGCCCGAAGCATGACAGCTCGAACTGTCTAAGACGCCCTGTGTGTTGTGCGCGCAGTTGACTCTCTCAAAGCGCTCAGTAGGTCCATTCCTGCAGTCTGCCAGGTGCAAGCGCTGGCTGAAACTGTGCTCCCACAGACGCATAGCGTGAAGGCCCATTTTCCTTGGGCCACCTCTCGCAGGTCAGCGGGTAGGCTCAAACGATGTTTCGCAAAGTGTGAGGCTGGCCGAATTGTGAGCGCCCGCGTCGCTTTGGCAGTCTTCAACAAGGGCGGTTGCCTTGCTGAAGTACCGCGCGAAACCTCGGGACGAAAGCGCGCTTCGTCTTTCCGAGTGCTTGCAATTTGTCTCTGCCCAGGTGCACGCATAGCTCCAGACGTGCACACGCGACCACCCGTTGAAATGAGTTGTAAGCTTTACCTAGTCGCCTTGGTGAGGCAAGTCTCCAGCAGCTCTAAAATAGCCAGAAGCTTCGTGTGCCAGGCTTGAAGCTTGCAATGTCTCAAGCTCCGGCTGGGCAGAGTGTGTTGTGCTGTCCATGGATTGAATACCTGAGGCAACAGGGGAAGCAAAGAACCGACACGCAAGCGTGCTGGCGCGCAAGGTGTTGGAGCCCCCTAGTCAAGAGCTCCAACCTCAAAAGCTTGAGGTGCAGAAAGTTGCCATTTGTCCCGAGCCAGCGCAAGGGTTGCGCCTCTTGTGGCCCTGCTGGCTTCTTTGGGTCGATGGCTTTTGCTGCAGCACCCAGCGCAGATTCTGAGCTGAAATCTACAGGACTGGCTCAAGCTAGGAGATGCAACGTGCCTGCACGGATTGTAATGACAAGTTTCAGGCTCGCTAGCCGACAGCACCTTCTCCAGTTGTGCTTCGCATCCCTTTGGGCAGCATGCAACCAGACATGGCTTGTTGAGGGGCATGGCCAGCATCAGTCAAAGCGCTCGTGTTTTGGTGCTCGCTTCGCGCATTCGGCCTACGAAGATTGCCAGCTCCTGTCTGCTGCTGGCAAGACACAAGATGTGACTGAAGCAGAGTTGCCAATTGCAGGAGCCGAGTCGCACCAAAGCATCGCCATTTGTTTTGAAACGCTAGTCGGCAGTGCTGCACAATGTAGTTCACCTTGTAGGCCGGCAAGTTTGGTATGGGCAGGATACGGCCACCGCTATCAGCACCGCAACCCTTCTCAGACTTGACATCCCCCCTCAGTGCAACATTGTCCTAAGGCGCGATGCACGCTTGGCGCGCACGAGCGATGCTTGAGGTGCAGAAAGTTGCTATTTCGCCCAAGCCAGTGCAAGGGTTGCGCCTCTTGTGGCCCTTCCAACTTCTTTAGGCCGATGGTTTTTGCTGCAGCACCCAGCGCAGATTCTGAGCTGCAATCTTCAAGACTGGCTCAAGCTCGGAGATGCAGCGTGCCTGCACGGGTTGTAATGACAAGTTTCAGGCTCGCCAGCCGACAGCACCTTCTTCAGTCGTGCTTCGCATCCCTTTGGGCAGAAAGCAACCAGACATGGCTTGTTGAGGGGCATGGCCAGCATCAGTCAAAGCGCTCGTGTTTTGGTGCCCACACCGCACATACTGCCTACGAAGTTTGCCAGCTCCTGTCTGCTGCTGGCAAGACACAAGATGTGACTGAAGCAGAGTTGCCAATTGCAGGAGCCGAGTCGCACCAAAGCATCGCCATTTGTTTTGAAACGCTAGTCGGCAGCCGCAGCATCCGTGGTGCAGCAAAATGCAGTTCACCTTGTGGGCCGGCAAGTTTGGTGTTGGCAGGACACGGCTACCGCTATCAGCACCGCAACCCTTCTCAGACTTGACATTCCCCCTCAGTGCAACATTGTCCTAAGGCGCGATGCACGCTTGGCGCGCACGTGCGATGCTTGAGGTGTAGAAAGTTGCTATTTCGCTCAAGCCAGTGCAAGGGTTGCGCCTCTTGTGGCCCTTCCAACTTCTTTAGGCCGATTGTTTTTGCTGCAGCACCCAGCGCAGATTCTGAGCTGAAATCTACAGGACTGGCTCAAGCTAGGAGATGCAACGTGCCTGCACGGATTGTAATGACAAGTTTCAGGCTCGCCAGCCGACAGCACCTTCTCCAGTTGTGCTTCGCATCCCTTTGGGCAGCTTGCAGCCAGACATGGCTTGTTGAGGGGCATGGCCAGCATCAGTCAAAGCACTTGTGTTTTGGTGCCCGCTTCGCGCATTCGGCCTACGAAGATTGCCAGCTCCTGTCTGCTGCTGGCAAGACACAAGATGTGACTGGAGAAGTGTTGCCAATTGCAGGAGCCGAGTCGCACCAAAGCATCGCCATTTGTTTTGAAACGCTAGTCGGCAGCCGCAGCATCCGTGGTGCTGCAAAATGTAGTTCACCTTGTGGGCCGGCAAGTTTGGTGTTGGCAGGACACGGCTACCGCTATCAGCACCGCAACCCTTCTCAGACTTGACATTCCCCCTCAGTGCAACATTGTCCTAAGGCGCGATGCACGCTTGGCGCGCACGTGCGATGCTTGAGGTGTAGAAAGTTGCTATTTCGCTCAAGCCAGTGCAAGGGTTGCGCCTCTTGTGGCCCTTCCAACTTCTTTAGGCCGATTGTTTTTGCTGCAGCACCCAGCGCAGATTCTGAGCTGAAATCCACAGGACTGGCTCAAGCTAGGAGATGCAACGTGCCTGCACGGATTGTAATGATGACAAGTTTCAGGCTCGCTAGCCGACAGCACCTTCTCCAGTTGTGCTTCGCATCCCTTTGGGCAGCTTGCAACCCATGGCTTGTTGAGCGGCATGGCCAGCATCAGTCAAAGCACTCGTGTTTTGGTGCTCGCTTCGCGCATTCGGCCTACGAAGATTGCCAATGGCTCTGGGCTGCTCCTTTGGAGAAGCTCGTTCTGAGCAAACGCTCGTTACAGCCTGAGCCAGGGTCACAGGGCCCCGTAGATTCGCTTGGGCGAGTCGGCGAGAAGTTAAAGAACAGCTTGCTTTCGGACTGACTGAAGGTGATGCTGAGGTCGGCGCCCCGCTCCATTCTCTGGCCTGAGCCAGCGGCAACGCCTGTGCCCAGCCTTCCAAGGGGCTTTCAACGTAGCAACTGGCAGGGCCGTGCAGGTTCCTTACATGTCTCAAGTGAGCAGCGAGAGTCCCATGAAGAAACCTGGGATGCCAACGTGGGACTCCGCGGAAGGATTTGTAGAGCGCGGGAGCTTGCGGAGGTTTTTGCGGAGCATCGTGCAGAGTTGGTTTTCGCGGACGGACTCCGATCTTTTTGGCCCGTGCACATTGGAAACGCGAGGAGCTACCAGCACAGAGATCATTTTCACTCGATTTTCCCGGAGCAATGGCCTTTTTTTCACACGCGCGAATCAAGCTTGTTCGAAGTGCTTGCATTGACAAGCCCCTCAAGAACGCGACCTGTGTGCGGAAGCCACGGAAGCGGATACGGAAGCAAAACACGTGTGTAGAATCAGAAACAACCATGCCGCAGAATCTTGCCGAAGCTGCGCGGCTTTCCGCCCCAAATTGTGACATGTTGTCCTTTTGGTTTTGGTCGCTGCTGAAGTGTTGACTGTTGAGTGGCTTCAAGGCTGCAAATTCTGGAGGTGTGGGGTGCCTGTTGGTAGGAGCGGGTCATGCTTTTGAACGCATTCAGCTGTTCAGCTGCAGAGAGTTAGCTCATTCGCAGCAAGCCGCTTGGCCGCTTGTAGCCTGACGGTCCCACAGTCGATTTGCAACGTGAGGGGCTTAAGCTTTCAAGTTGACAGACAGGGCTGGTCCAAGCAATCGTGTTGTCTCGTACTTCACATTTTCTCCTAGCTGGTCTTTGGGTGCCTCAAAGAAAGCCGCGGCTCGGGGTGCCATGCTTTGAGCCCGCGACGACTTTAGAGGCTTGCGTTCTGCGTGGGGCTGCTTGAAGGCATGGCTGCTTCAGCTGCCGCCGGGCAGAGGCGGCTACGCAAACAGCGGAAAGTGCATGACGCACCGCTTGAGCTCGGCAAAGCCCTGACACTTGTACCTCCTGCGCCCTTCGCAAACGAATGTGCGTGATGCCGCAAGCCTGACCGTCCATGGCAAATCTGTTCAGGCATTGGCAGTTTGCATGTTGGACTGCGGCAAAACAGGCTGGGGGTCGAAGAAGGCACGGCCCCGTGTTTAGGGGCTCGCTCCATTGGCTGCGGTCGAGCAGAACTCCTGAGCTGAGGACCCCAATACTCAGACACCGCGAGCGATGTCTGGGCTGAAGCTCAAGTTGAGCCAGACCGGGGCCGCACCCCTGGTGTAGACCGCTGTGATAGCCAAGTCTTGGGCTGTTCGTGTGGGCGCTGCCGTTTGCGGGAATGCCATGCAGTCAATGTGGTGATTTGGATTGGCAAGGCCAGGGCGTGGCTTCTGAGCTGCGCTGTCGCGCGCGAAAGGCGCGACAAGGCTCACTGCATGCCTGGCAACATGAGAAGCCGTGCCCTTGTAGCCTTTGCTTGGATGGAGCTGCACTTAAGCGCGCTAAGGCTGGAGGCGTGTGTGGCACTCCTGCACGCGCAGGGAATGGCAGAGTGAACGATGTGATGCCTGGCCCTGTTGGCCTCCCTCAAAGGCGTCTGGTGCTCTCAGCAAAATCCCCAGCGCCAAGCTACAACACCCGCCGCATCCATTACACCCATCAGCTGCAGCCAGTGTGCCTCACTGCGTGGTGCTCTGAGATACAAACCCAGCAAGCTCGCCTGTGCTGTGCGCAGGTTGCTGTTTGAAGCTCAGAGGCGTGGGCCATGTCAGTTCTCACACACTGTGGAAGCCCAAGACCTGTGTGCTGCCGGTGGCAGAAGATTTTCAACTTCTGTTGCAGCATTTGGCCGCTCGAACCCCAGAAGTGCTCAATATGCAGCCTGCAAAGATGCGACCGGGCGGTACAACTGGACTGAACCACGTGAGGCCCCATGTAGACTGGTTGCATGCTTTCTTGCCGTGCAAGCGGGGGCAGGTAGGTTGAATTGCAGTCGTGGTACCTGGGCTGAGGTGTGAGGTGAGTGCATTTGTATGCTTGCGATCACCTATCCACCGTTCGCGTACGAGACCATAGCTATGGGAGACTGCGAGCTGGAGTAACGGGTTGAGCTATCGCGCATCGTGCATATTCGCTGGGCAGTTGGCCAGCCATTTGGAATCAGGTCTCAATCAGTGCTGGTGAGGATACAAAAATGCTTCAACATATTGGAGCGGTAAGCCCTCTCACCAGCCTGACAGAGATGTGGGCCAGCCATCAAACAGGAATCGGCCATCAGTGACTTTGTCTTTGGCCCGCCTTTAAGCCTAGTGGCACACCCTGCGAGGTGCTGCGGTCGGGGTTGCTGCTTCTTTCTTGGAGGAGCAGTGCTTCCTAATCGAAAAGCCATGTTGAGGCAACCTGAAAAGGCCAGCAGCGACAAGCGCATGTTGGCGCATTAAAATATTCAGCCATCGCTGAGGACCATTCTTGCACCAGGTACTTGACTTGTGTTTCAGGGTGGGCCTCCTAGCCCCAAAGTTATCAGCAACGCATGCAGAAGTTTAAGTTTTCAGGTGCAAGCATCACTTGTGTTGCGGCCTCGATCCCAGACAAGGCGTATGAGCAGATGTGCGGCCTGCTGAAATCTTGTTTTTCCCCGCCTGCGGCTCATTGGTCCATCCAGCCTCAACAGTCGTCCCCCGTGAGCTTGTGCTGATTCCGCACTCCGCTCCCGCTCCCTGGAAAAGCGACCTTGCTAACACTAGCCTTCCAAGTATCGGAGTGACCCATTCTCAGGGTGTTGCAGGGAAACGTTTGCACAGACAGGACATGACATGACACGACCTGCGTGCAGCTTGCTGGCAGGCTTGCCCGAGCAGCATTTTGAACCACACATGATCGTGCTTGGCGGCGCTGCCCGCTCGTGGGGAGGCGGGGAATTTCTCCAAATCGCGCAGCTGCACGCGGGAGCAGTGATGCACTACTCCCCCCTGGAGGAGCTCTTGCAGCATGGTCAGCACGTGGCCTTGCTGCGCCATGTGCTTGCGCACAGCCCGCGCATTTTGGGGGGTCACAGCTTTGGAGCGGCGGTGGCCAGACTGTTGGCCCAGCAGCTGGCCTGGTGCGGCTTGAGCCTTCGGGGCCTCGTGGCACTGGATGCTCGGTGCGTGGCTCGGTCGGCGCTCTACTCGGTGCGGCCGTCGCTGCGGGGACTCGCGCAGTCTGTGGCCCAGTCCCTGGTTCTGCCGCAGTTGGCCTAGAGCTGGCGTGCATGGCGCCCATGGTTCCGCGCGGCATCCTGCCAGCAGAACTGCTGCACCAGAGCGCCGAGCGGGCAGCGGAGTCCAGTTGCGAAGCGCCTCTCTGGCAGCTGCTGGATGCCGACCATTTCGCCTTGCCCGGGTCTCATGCCTGGGACATCGCAAGCCTCATTTCGGCGTCATGAGCCGGAACCATTCTCGGTAAGCTCCAGAAAGCTGCGCAGGCATCGCTGCCTTTGAGAAACGCTTGGCACAAGTGAATGCGTCAAGGCAAGAGATGTGTGTTTGCACTATGCCTAGGCGCTCACCACCTCGCCTGTGCCAGAAGCTGACGGAGGGTACGGCGCCCACAATTGATCCAAAGATGGAATGCTTAAACTTGAGGAGCCAGATTCCGTGGCCAAAGTGGAAGGGCAGGCATTCGGGTTTGCAAAGGGAGTGGGTTGCTGCGTATGTTGGAGAGGTTCGTTGGAGACTGGCTAGGATGATGTAGGTTGGCAACCTTCTTGCAAGGCCGCATCACATTTTCACGTAGGACGTGGGCCCTGCCTTGCTGCCGAATTCTGGCTCAGAGCTTTGGGTTGGACATTCATTGGCTCATGCTATTCAGCTTGCATTTTCTTCGGCAAAGGCAGCCGATTTTGTGACAGGTTTCGGGTACAGCACATGCCCGGACACTGGAATGGGCATCGACCGAACTGGGCTGCTGACGATACTGTCAACCGTTGCAAGCCACTACGGACGATTTCAAGGCACCTGAACGGTAGTGAGCAACACTGGAGCGTGCGTTATTTTGTGCATGCCTTCATTGGGGTTCCCCATATGGCTGTGGGTCAAAAATATGTACCCAACGTGGAACCCTGGTAAATGGAAACATGGACTAGAATTTGCGGTCCCCTGGTGACCTGGTGGTTTGATTTTGACCCATTCCCATATCAAATTGTTGCTTTGGATTGGCCTGGGGGTGGGGTGGAAGAGGGGCACTAGGCCGCTTTGGGTTGGCATGGGCTCAAGGCATGGTAAATCAAAGGGTGTGGCTTTCTCGACCCTGGTGACCCTCGCTGTCAAGCTTGGTCAGTCCTTTTCGTTTGCCTGTGGATGGGGTGGGAAGACCCCCCCTCCCCAAGCCCGTTGCGGATTTCGCCCGGCATGCACCGGAGCAGCCGTGTTTTCAAGGCAAACCGAGCCACCATCAAGCCCCGGGTAAGTCAAGATTAAGGACGGTCCCGACCATAGGTGCAGATATCGGTTTTCTTGATTCAGATATTTTCGGGTAGACTTGATGACTCAAATGTGTGTGTGTGTGTGTGTCACAGTATTTGTGCGTGTGTGTGCCTTTGCGTGTTTGTATATGTCTCTCTCTCTCTCTCTGTCTCTGCAGGGAAATTTACAGGAAACCGAACCCATAAATACGTCTCCGTATTTTGACATGACCCATTGCCAAGGAGTGCACTTGTGCGAGCTGGGAAATCAGCGCATTACCAAGGGCGCCTTGACGGTGCTGACCGAATGGGGATACAGTCCTGACCTGCACGATCTACTGAGCATCCTTCAGGGCCTCTCCACGACGCCCTCTCCGACCATTGCGCCTGGAAAGAAGATATTTGAAAGGCTTGGATTTATCCATGCATCTTGGCAGCTTGGGGCAGGGCGCTTGCAGTTGAGTAATGGGGGTTTTTGTGGCCCTTTGTTGGCTTTGCCCAAGCCTCTGCTTTTTGCCTTCCTGGGGAGTTGTGACAATTGCAGACTAATCTGCTGAACGTCACAGCCAATTCCCCCACTAACATGGCTTCCGTGCTGGTAAATCAACTGCACACAGATACCGCGTCTGGCGGCTATCGCATGTCGCTGGACAGGGTCACGACCCGCTATTACTTCCCCTCTTGATTCGCAGAAAACTTTCGATAAGCTGGAGTAGCAAAAGATGTTTTCTTCGCACGCTAGGCTCGGCATTCCATTTGAATCAAAGCGCTGTATCGCAACCCTTGCTCCAAGTTGAGCCTGACAACGCCTCTTGGCGAACACAGAGAACGGGTAGGTTGAGCCCTTATTGTACTTGGTGATCCTTGCCTTTGCTTGCAGGCAGCGAAAGAACCTTGATTGTTGCCAAAACCGCCAGCAAGTACCTGCACCTAGTGGAGGAAGAGGCTGACTACCTCCTCAACAAAGGCAAATGCTGCTATATCGCTTTTGACGCATTCGGGCTGGTCAGGTTTTAAAAGCCGCAAACACAAGAATCAGTAGACACTGCAGTGCACTTTGATCAAGCAACGCATCTCAGCACTACACCCATCCTGGAGAAACATGCAGCAACTTGGCTTTTTCTGGAACACAGAAGAAATGGCAACACCACGAAAGGCCTCCGCCAGACCGGCGGAGGCTGCAACCTTGGCCCACCCCACGAAACAACTTCTCACAGAGTTGGTCGCCGCAGAAGGTTTGGATTGCGGCAAGCAAATGAAACAAGAGGACAGCAAGCTAGGACTCGTGAGCACCATCATTCCGCAAGGAATCATAAAACGCCCTTTCGAAGACGATCTCGCGCTTTCAGTCCCTGCGTGTGACACTCTTTGTGACACGTCGGGGCGCACAGGCTGTGTGCCGCATTTTTTTAAAATAAATATTCTTGGCCATATCCCTGCCCGAGACCAGTGATGAATTGTTTGCCCCCCCACCCGGCCTGTGGGCATTCTCAGCCATGGCACAACATTAGCAGCAGCAGCAGCAGCAGCAACATCAACAGCAACGACGACGACAACGACAACGACAACAACGACAGCCATACGGCACGGTGAAGTAAGGGGGGGGGATTCTCGCCCCGGTGCCTGCAATCTCTTCAGACATCCGTGTTTGCCCAAGTGCCCACGTGTGATTTTCTTTTTTTTCTGGTGGCTTTGGGCTGGTCGCTCATGCACCCCTTTCGGTGCCTTGTCTTGGCCTTACGTTTCCACTCTTGTCCTTCCCGCCAGACCATAAAGTAGATGAGCCACTGTGGTTTCTGTCGCAGCCATTGTGCCTGCTAAGACCAGCCTGGACATCAATGGTCGCGATGGCGCCGTTGAAGTTGACCTCTCACGACCATTGAACACGTCATTGAGGGTGCTGGGCATGTGCGACGTAGTCACCAATTTCGGAACCACCGAGCATGTGGGCGAGAGTGATTATGTTGAGGCCGATGTTGACCTTTTGGACATCTGGAGCTCGCAATACGAAGCTTTCCGCAACTTGCACCGCCTTGCGCGACGTGACGGCCTGATCATCAACATGGTGCCAGCTGCCGGCTGTTGGCCCCGTCATGGCGCAGTGGAGTATGAGCCCAGGTTTTTCGAAGCCTTAGCGAATGCCACTGGGTATGAGATCATGAATTTGTCCTTGCACAGGCCAAGCTACTATTGGACTACGGACGAGACGAGCTTCTTCTGGGATCTTTTGCAGAAGTTACTCGCGCGGGAGTCATTGCAACTGCCTGCATCGGTGGATCCTGAAGACATGTTCATCATGCCCCACATGAACAAGGCCTTGGGCAGAGCGCAAGTAGGATGCGCAGTAGCCTTGAGTCATGGACAGGAAAGTTGGGCAAGGAGCAGACTGTTTAGCGGTTCTCGAGCTGATGACTTCAATCAAGGCTTGCGTTACTTTTGAGGACCTTTTTGTGTGTGTCGGCTGGCGGGTTTGGATTTGGGCTAATGTGACAAGCCAATCACTCGGCGCATCGGCGCATCTCGGCAAAGCAAGGGCTGGTTAGTGGTAAGAGCCTGAGCCCAAACGTCATAGCAAGGAGTTGCGCCTTGGCGCAGGTGTCTAGCGCGAGTCATGGCAAGGTCGGCAAAGATAGCTAGCATAAGTTGTCGTTGTGGCACCTCGGCGCACTGCAACGCCAATGTTTGCATGTGTTGTGGAAAGCTGTTGGCCGGCGGTCCATTCGATGTTCCATGTTCACGGCTGCTGTGATTGAGATGGACAGCTGTGCAGGCGCAGCAGGGCAACATTCTGTCGGTCTTTCGGCCAAGCAGCGCCTTCATTGACAAGAGCACATTCTTGCGGCTGCCGGGGCTGCACCAGAAGTCCAAGGCGGGGGTTTCACAAAGAAACGAGGCTTGTTCACGGATCACTCGGGGTTTATCCCCACTTCTGAGATGATACTTATATGCGGGCTTTTAGTCTTTGGGAAGCCCTCTTTATATCACAGAAGTGGTCATTTCCCACAGCTCTGCTCGCCTTTGCGTCAGGAGCCCCGAGTGCAGAACTGCCTGACCCGAGCCTCCGGCTAGTTGCTCACAGGCAGAAGCCATGGCCCATGGCCCCTGGCCGGAGACACGGGTCCCAAAACATAGCGAGCGAGGAGTTTGGGACGTCTCAAGCGCGAAGGCGACGATGAAGCGCTCCGGACTTGTGACATCTCCGGGCGCCTGACTCCCAGCAAGTCGAAGCATTTCATAAACACGATCCATGCGTTTGGGCGCTGCTTGAATCTCCTCCATGCAGAAAAAAACCGCACGGCCTCCTTGCCTGCGGTTTTCTTTTCGCGCGCGTCGCTTTTGAGCCGGGTCCGTTTCCGTCCAGTTCTCGGCTCCGCGGGCGCATGGAGAGAGATTTGAACTAAGTTTGCACTTCGCAGTCAGTGAAGTTGTTTCTGTGGCAGCAGACTTTTTGTAAGCCAAATTTTCCACTGTGCAGCCATGGACTCGGCGTCGACCAAGAAGGTTCTGGATAAATTCCAGGTGGCTGGAATGGCCTCCTTCAAGAAGGTGGCCAACAAAGAGCTCCGTCCCATGAGCGCGCTGAGGTGCAAATTATGCTTCACACTCCTGCTGTACTTGATGCTCACTTGCCCAAAGCCAAGCTTTTGACATTTTAGGTTGCCTGGTTTAGTCTTCGCTTGGTCAAGGTTCCAAAATCTACACCTTTTGTTTCCGTGTCCTTTGGGCAAGTGAGGATATCTTTCTACGTCATTTCAGATCTGGACTGGGCCTTCACGGAGAGTTGGGAACTTCCAGTGCTGGAGGTTAACAACATCACAAGCAGCACCTTGCTGCTAGAGCCCCGGTTGCCATGGTGGGTGCCCCGCCCCTTTTTTCCATGGAAAGGGTGTCAGTTTTGAAATCGGCAGCCAAACAGGTTTTTGGGAATGGTTTTTCTTGGAATCCAGGCAACAAAACACGCAAGCAACAAAACATGTTTTCGAGAAGGACTTCCATTTAAGACCAAGCAACAAAACAGCGACATGTCCGGGCTTGCGCGACGCATTGATTTTTAAAGGTCAATTGTCGATGATATTTAAACTTCAGGCTGCAAACGCAAAACCTGATTTTTGTGGTCCAGTCCAATGTGCGGAACCGGTGTCTTTTTTTGTACTAGGCCCGGCTCGGGGCTTAGCTGGGTTGGTTGGTTGGTTGGTTGGTTGGTTGGTTGGTTGGTTGGTTGGTTGGTTGGTTGGTTGGTTGGTCAGCTGGGCGGCCACATCCCCAGCATTCTCAGCATCACCGGCCTCTCTCGGACTAGGGCTGCTGGCTTTGATTTGGCAGTTCAGAGTTGCTCTGGGCTGGTTTCGGGTGAGTGTTGCTGAGGTCTTATACAATGAGGGCGGGTCTTAGGTTTGTTTGGGGTTCATTTAGACTTTGTAAAGGGCTGATATCGGATGCTGTTGGGAGGGTTTAAGGTTGACTTTGAGTCAGTTTGGGTTGGCTTGGAGCTGATTCGCGCGAGGTGTGCGGCCCGGTTTTTGCAGTAGCCTTTGGGCTGCTTTAGGGATGTGGTTGCGCAAGTTTTGGGCTGGTTTGGGTGGTTTGGGGCAAGAATCAGCTCCAAGCCAACCCAAACTGACTCAAAGTCAACCTTAAACCCTCCCAACAGCATCCGATATCAGCCCTTTACAAAGCCTAAATGAACCCCAAGCAAACCAAAGACCCGCCCTCATTGTATAAGACCTCAGCAAGCGCAACACTCACCCGAAACCAGCCCAGAGCAACTCTGAACTGCCAAATCAAAGCCAGCAGCCCTAGTCCGAGCGAGGCCGGTGATGCTGGGGACGCTAGAGATGCGGCCCACCAACCCGACCCCCAACCTGGCCAACTAGGGAGAATACCGCCTGTTGCCCCCAACCTGAGAGCGAAGCGAGGGTTCCCAGCCAACCTCTTTAGAGTCACATAGGAGAATCCTTGTGCTGAGCCGGGGCTAGGAAAAGGCCGGGGCTAGCAAGAAAAAAACACCTCAACCGTCCAAATACTTGTTGACACCTCTATTGCAAAAGCCTCAGACTCAGACCACATGGCCGGCGATACGGTCTCACGATCAATCACACAATGTGCACGCGTAACTCAGGAGCTGAAGGACTGCAACATGGACTTGCAGTGGAGGGAGGGGAGCTCCATCACGGTCAGAGAGACGACCTTGGTGCCAGGTGGGGCTTGGGCAGTACCAACCAACTAGGCTTGATTTTTCGGGACCAGCTCGAGATTTTTTTTTTTCAGCTCTTGAAACCATCATTCAAAAAGGGAACCAGCTCGAAAAGATGGAACCCCGCCCAGATGGTGACCATCAGCTGCATGTGTCCTGGAATGAAACCAGCGACGTCTTGAGAGTAATCTGCTCTGGCCCTTCACTGGAAGGGGACGCGGTGACCGTGCAAGTGCAGGCGGGGGAAAGCCCAACAGAGGGGGTTACCTGGTTTTCGTGTTCTGCTGAAAGCCTTACTCTGGGGCCTTTGCCCAAGCAAGATTGGTGATAAACAGATGTGACAGAGATGGTGGACATGTGCGACTGCGCTTGGCAGACAGATAGACTGATGTGACAAGCCGTGACAGCCAGCTGTGACAGTCCAATGCGTGATGCCATTGTGACAGCCACCAGCGACAGCCCAAAGTCCAAAGTTTCGGCCCCCTGGGCCGCCGATGAAGCTCACGGTTCCCGAGATCAGTACGCTAGAGGCTCACAGGCCCCTTGTCCATTTGCATGGGAAGCGGGTAGCTTGGAAAGCTTTCTGAAGCTCACAGGCCCTGCAAGTGGGTCAGTTGGGCCATTGCTGCAAAGCCGCGCGCGCCACGCGCACAGGCAGCGCAGTCCCTGTGGGACCAGCGCACGCGTGCCCCACTGTAGGGCCACAGGATTACAAGACACCACAAATTCATAGGTCACGTGGATTCATGTGGTCTGACCTTGGGGCTACAAATGATGCGCCCTTGAAAGACTTCGCCGCCGGAGTGCCCCGGATGACGATTTTTTGGGGGACCACTATTTTTCGAGACCACTTGGATCGGGGGAGCATTCGAAACTCGTATTTTCTTGCGCGGGTTTTTAGGGGACGATGTTTCAGGTGGGCAGTGCGATTCACTTCAACTTGGTGGAGCTGACCTTCGAACCCGGGGGCAGGAGCTTATTCCGAAGCGCGCCGTACGTGAACTTGGGGGACAACTTCACGGTGTCCGGGGACGACGGTATTCTGCAGATCTACCCCAGCAGAATCGGGAGAATGTCGGTGCAGCTGGACTCCGGATTCATATTTCTTTACGAAGTCGACTTCGACGAGGCGAGCTTTGTCTTGGGCAATGAAGTTGATGTGTACCTGTGGCAGGATACCTATCATCGTAGTGTGAATGTTCATTTGCAGACCGGTGACGGTCTAAACGCGTCTTCGGGGCTTTGCTTGTCGGACGCTGGGGGGATGCCATCGCTTTCCGCCTCCGATTGGGGCGAGTACGACTATGGCTTCTCCTTGGGCTCAAGCTGGTGGCCCCGGATTCTGAACATCTCGCGGGGCAACGCGAACAGTCGGCTGTTTCTGACCCACGGGGTCTGGAGGAGCCACCGGAACTGCGGCAACACCTTGGACTCGGTGGCGAAGATGGAGGCCCGGCTGGACGCGTCCTTCAGCACCTGGTCCACCGAGGTGGCCGAAAGCGGCTCGGAGCTGATGAACCTGTGGCTGCTGGGCGCCTCCCTGGGCACGGAGATCCAGTCCATGAGCTCCCGGGGCTTCTGGATCTTCTCCCAGTTCGGGGACGCGCTCACCTGGTTCCCCGTGAGCCTCTGGAACATCTTCACCCTGGGCATCTTCTCCCCGCGCACCGCGCGCGGGGTGTTCCTGGTGAAGGATGTGTTTTTTTCAACGAATGTGGGGCCTCAGAAGTGGCAAGTGGAACTGCTCAACTCTGACAGGAAAGGGAACCCAGCGACCCCTGCCATATTCAGAGACTTGGGTGTGTCTAAATAGGTTCGGACCCCCCTCCCTTGCTTCAAAGGAAACCAAAAGGAGACCTGGCAGTAAAACGATCAACTTTTTGGGGAGGGAACTCCAGTGTCTGGAGTTGGTACCATGTTCAGGTCGAAGAAGAGCCAAGAGTCAGGTAGCCCGCAGTGGTTCGGATTTTCGGGTTGAGCTCCCCTCCCGCAGGCCAATGGGACTCAGGAACGCCAGGCCAAACCGCGAGGGAAGCCGAAGGCCTTTGGGTTTCCTCCGCCAGGACTCCTTGTGCCTGCCCAAGCGCGACAGGATCACCGTGGGAAAGTCGAACTGCCGGCCCATGAACTCGACGGAGGAGTCCCTGCACACCCAAGTGGTCGAGCGATGCACGAAGGCATGGTCGGTCGGACATTCCACCTTCGGCTTTGCGTGGTGGGCTGTTTTCGTTTTGCGCATTGGGCCATCAAGCACTGGGGGGTTCCCTACAAAATCAACATGGCAAAGAAGATCCCATGGAGAAAAGGGGATTTCCCTTCAAACTCAGGCACACAGAAGGGTGCCTATTCTCTCCATGGAAAATGAAGATTTAAGGCAAGTTTTGCCGAAAATGAAGTAGCCATAAGCACGGGCCAATTTGGTATGAGACGGGATACTTGAAATTTAGAGGTACAGCAGAAATGGTCACCCCTAGGCCTCTTGCACTGAGGCCTGGAGGAATAGCTTGCCGGATGCCTTGAACTTGACCAACACCCGGAATGGCCGCATCTACTACGTGTTGCATCATTTCCATGAGGGCAACACATGGTTGCCCGCTTTGGCCCATGGAGCCATAACGATCATGTCAGCCAGTACCAGTGCCTTTGTGAAGTTAGTCCATGGGCCCGAGCACTTGAGAGGCGCTGGTGGGCTTGTGTTTGTCACAGTCATGATCCTGCTGGCTGTGGGAGGAGGGGCGTTTGCTTGCCTCCTGGTGGCATCCTTGTACAGGATGCAAAGAAAGAGGTACATGAAGGCCAGAGGCACGGATAAGAAGAACAAGGCCATTCGGGATATGCAAGAAATGGAGGCCAGAAGCAATCTGCTGATGACCTTGGTGCGGTGCTTGGTTCTACGTTCGCCTTCCGGCAAAGCCTCCGTTACCCCACTGAAAGCAGCTCAGTTGTGCCTCGGCCACTTTGTCGTCATGCAATTGCTGATCACGCCACTGGTGCTCGTAGCAATTTTGAATGTTTCCAACATTCCAGAGCTGCGCACAATGTGCAACTTCAATGAATGGATGGAAGGAACTTGCATATATATTCGCCACGCTTTTGTCTCGAGTGGAATTCTCTCTGCCGCATTCGTCATGAATTCCATTTTCTTCCTCAACACGGTTCTAGAATACGTCACTCGCCACGGGATTGATGTGGCCGAAGAAACAGGGACCTGCCCTAAAATCTACAAGGTCGCCATGATGCTGCGTGCGTCCTGTGCGTACCGCGCTTTTTTGACCGCCGGCTTCTTGGCGTCGCTCTTCTTTTTTTGCGCTTACTTCATTTTGGTGATCATCTTCGTGCTGCTGGGAACGCTCTTGAAGCCAGAGCGGCTAGCACCCATTCTGGTTGCCATCGGCGGAGCAGTGGTGGTTGCCCAACAAATGACGCAGAAGTTCAACGAGTTTGTGGAGAAGGCGAAGGTGATGGCCGCAGAGTGGTTGGCCAAAAACATCAACCATGCTTTGGAGCTAGGCAAGGAGGCTCTTGGTGAACACGTGGAAGGAATGGCAGGCTCGATTATGGATGCTTCCCCCTTTGCAAAGGAAGCCCTGGCCCGAGTGGGCGTGAGTGCAGATTCCTTCAGTGCTGAGAAGATTGAGGGCATGGCGGGTTCACTCATCAACTCAGTTGCCGAAGGGACCCTTGCGCAAGTCAGCAATGCAGATTCCTTTGACATGGAGACAATGATGAGCAACATGCGGCACGCTGCAGCAAATTCTGCTGCCTCTGCTGTAGCTCAGGCGAAGGGCGCGGCAGGCTCTGTCGTGACTTCAGCTGCGCAGGAAGCTTTAGCCCAAGCCCACCTTGGTGAACACGTTGAAGGAATGGCAGGCTCGATTGTGGATTCTGCCCCATTTGCAAAGGAAGCCCTGGCCCGAGTGGGCGTGAATGCAGATTCCTTCAGTGCTGAGAAGATTGAGGGCATGGCGGGCTCGCTCATCGACTCAGTTGCCGAAGGGACCCTTGCGCAAGTCAGCAATGCAGATTCCTTCGACATGGAGACAATGATGAGCAACATGCGGCACGCTGCAGAAAATTCTGCTGCCTCGGCTGTAGCTCAGGCGAAGGGCGCGGCAGGCTCTGTCGTGACTTCAGCTGCGCAGGAAGCTTTAGCCCAAGCACACCTTGGTGAACACGTTGAAGGAATGGCAGGCTCGATTGTGGATTCTGCCCCCTTTGCAAAGGAAGCCCTGGCCCGAGTGGGCGTGAGTGCAGATTCCTTCAGTGCTGAGAAGATTGAGGGCATGGCGGGCTCGCTCATCGACTCAGTTGCCGAAGGGACCCTTGCGCAAGTCAGCAATGCAGATTCATTTGACATGGAGACAATGATGGGCAACATGCGGCACGCTGCAGAAAATTCTGCTGCCTCGGCTGTAGCTCAGGCGAAGGGCGCGGCAGGCTCTGCCGTGACTTCAGCTGCGCAGGAAGCTTTAGCCCAAGCCCACCTTGGTGAACACGTTGAAGGAATGGCAGGCTCGATTGTGGATTCTGCCCCATTTGCAAAGGAAGCCCTGGCCCGAGTGGGCGTGAATGCAGATTCCTTCAGTGCTGAGAAGATTGAGGGCATGGCGGGCTCGCTCATCAACTCAGGTTCTGAAGGGGCGCTTGCGCAAGCCCTCGGAAATGCAGAGATGACTTCAACTTTGCAAGAAGCCTTAGCCAAAGCCGGGGTAAGCGCAGATGCCTTGAACGCCGAGCTGGTTATGGACCAAGCGCGGCGCGCCGCTGCAGTTGGTGCTGCTTCCGGGCAAGCGGAGGGCACGGCAGGCTCTGTCATGACTTCAACTTTGCAAGAAGCCTTAGCCAAAGCCGGGGTAAGCGCAGATGCCTTGAACGCCGAGCTGGTTATGGACCAAGTGCGGCGCGCCGCTGCAGTTGGCGGTGATGCCAGTTCTGATGCGTTGCTTCAACGAGTTGCGGGATGTTTGCCTGGCATCGTCGACGAGGATGCTCTCAGACTCGGGCCCCTGAAAAATGGAGCGGACCCGATGGCCATGGCTAAGGGCGTGCTTGTGACTGGAATGAAGGAAGCTCCTGGTGTCGCAGACGGCCTGACTTGCGCAGCATCCATTTCAAATGGTTTGGTGGAGGGCGCCCAGGATGCGGTCATTGATGTCAACACCTTGAGCCCAATTGCTGAGACATCCGATGGCGAGAAACCCCGCGGATTGCTTAGGTCGCTGACGGCTGCAGTTGGGAATGTGGTTCAAGATGTGGAGGCAGCTGTGGGGGATGTGGTAGGCGACGAGGACGAGCCTATGGACCTGGAAAATGTGCTTGTGATGCTGGGCCTGAGCAAAGGCCAGCTGCTGCTGCTGAACATCAACGCGGTGCTGCTGTTTTTGTGCTTCGTGGGCTTCTGCCTTGTGGGGTCCATGCTCTTTCTGGGTCCAGGAATGGACGCCTTGATCCCCCAGCTCACATCAACGGTCGCCACCTTGACCGGCGCGGTGGGAATGATCCGATCCAAAGGCCAGGAGATCAAGAATGCCGACTTTTCTGCGATGTCCGGCGCTCTCAAGGACGCCGCGCATCAGCTAGAACATCCAGATGTACAGGCCAAGAAGGAGCAGTGATGACTCCACCTATGCACCTTTGCCAAGCAAAGGAGCTGCGTGCAACCTGTTGCTTCCACATGCAAAGCATTGGCCGGTACGTCTACTCTCAAAGTTTTCGCAAGATGCGGTGCATCAGCTAGATCATCCACATATTGCCAGTGAAAAGTGACAAGACTTGCCAAGTTCACGGCGGATGCCACATCGTTTTGACGTCAGCCTTGGCATGTTGGGCACCCTTTTTTGTTGCTGCTCGCCAGTCTCAAGAGTTGCATTCACACTTGGCATATGCACCACCAAGCCTCAGCCCCCGTATTTCCCTCAGAGCCTGCTCCACCTTTCCCCAAAGCACGGGGCGGCTCGCTTGGGCCAGCTTTGCAAACACTGTGGCTTACGCATGCACGATCACTAGTGCCATGGAATCTTAGATGCTTGTGCGGTCTATGGCCAATCTTGAGGCGCAAAGCGAGGAGAACAAAACTGGGCAGGGTTGTGGGATCAAGGGGTTTATCCCCGCTTCTGTGATACAAGGGAATCTCCCCCGTGTCTGTGTGGGGGATTAGCTGTGAAACTGGGGGTTCGCGGTCTCGCACCAGCAGTGTTGACTGGCTGCGTGGAACGGTGCCGGGAAGCTGCCGCCTCAGCTCGAGGAACCAGCATCTTGATTCTATGATGCTTGCCCTTGGCCGTGATTTGGAGCAGGGAGACATGGACATTGCCAAGTCTCAAAGCAAGGACCCCCCCCCTTCCCCCCCCCCCCAGGCGCGCTCCCTTTAAGTTCAACTGCATGACCGGTCGGTTGGGATGGGTAAAGCGCAAGTCCTAGAATCTGCATTTCGCGGCCCATGGATCCACAAGATTCGGGTCTGCCCTTTTTTGGTACCCTTTTTGGGTTCGTCTAGGGAAACAAAGAGGAACACCCATCTTTTTAAGTTTTGGAGGTCGCGGGCCTTGGAGCTGCCCTGGTGCTACGCGTGGCAGAGCCAAGCATGCGCCTTGTGCTTGCTGAGATGCAATGCATCCTTCCAAGAGTCAGCCAGGAGGAGCTTGATGATGCGGACTCAAGAAGGAGAAAACGGCGTATTGTCCCATGCATTCGGGCCGCATAAATCCGCGCCGACCCGCGTAAAGACATTATTCCGCATCATCCGCCCTAACCCACCCTAATCTTGCGCGAAGCCGCAGCACTACGCGCTGCGCTGCGCTAGTTTGCATTCAGCCGCACTGAGCCGCACTAATCCGCACTTGTGCGCAATGATGCGTCAAGATGCGTTAAGAGCCATTTAAAGACACACCAAGTCGCTTTAATCCGACTCAATGCAGGTCAGCGCGGATGCGTGCGGGTCGGCGTAGATCGGCGCGGGTCAGCGCGCATCAGACCAGCGCAACCGGCGCAGAGCAGTGCGGATCAGTGCATATAGACCGGCGCGAAGAAGCGCGCATCAGTGTATGTAGACCGCAGATCAACGGGCAAAGTGCCGAGCAGTGCGGCTCAATGAGGCTCGGCGCAGCTTGGCACGGATCAATGCGACTTGGTGTGGCTGAAAACGCCTCTCGCCGAATCAGGGCGGATGTGTTTAAGCCGCTCAATGCCGATAAGTGTAGATTAGATTAGTGCGACTCAACGCGGATCTTCGCGGATCGGCGCGCCTTGGTGCGGTTCTTGCGGGTCGCTGCGCTGAGCGCGAAATAACGATTTACGTGCGAAAGTGTGCCTTGATCAGCGATAGCATGGCTGAAGCAGGGCTCTGAACGAATTAGCAAAAACGAATTAATTTGAATGAATAAGGGAAGGAAACATTAAAAAAGAGAATGGGATATAATCTCGCAATTTTTAGGTTCTACCATAAATTGACCTAATTCTTAGTTAATATAATTGTTATAATTGAAAAATAATTTTTATAAATTGATAAACAATAAATAATTAATAATTAAAACCATAATGAATAAAACATATATAGAAAGGAATATATATAATTAGAATATTTTATTTTTTTGTATGAAAAGATATATGGATATTTATGTTATGTTGATGATAATTTTGTGGATTTATGGAAATTTGGGATTATTTTTTTATTGGAATAAATAATTATAGAAATTAAATAATTATAAATTCGAAAATAGGTTTAATAAAAAATAGATATATTTTTAGATATTGATATTATTCTATAATTTATTAGGATTTAATTTTATAATAAACATATTAAATAATAAAAAATAAATATTAAATATTATAAAATAAACAAATAAAAATAAGAAAAGAATATAAATAAACAATAAAATACATATTAAATGAACATACAAAGATTAAAAACAGATAAGGAATAAAGAGAATGGAGATAGGAATGAAATGGATATATTAGGATCTTTTCAGATTATAAGATTTGCATTCTTATTTTTTTTTTATAAAAACACATTTCTATTTCTTTTTATTTCTTCTTTAATTTTTTTATTTTGGAAATTATTATATTTAGAAATTATATTAAATTTATTTTATTTTGTTATTGATATTTCTATTTTATTAATCTCTGTAAATATTATAATTTTGCTTATTTTTATAGGATTTAATATTTATTGTTGGATTAGAATGGTTTTCTTATATTTTTTTTTTATATTATTTCTCCTTAATTTATTATTTATTTATAATTTTCATATTTAGTCTAAACATTTATTAAAAGAATTCAATACTATAAAATTATTAAAAGAATTCAATACTATAAAATATTATTAATAATTTTAATTCTTCTTTTTAGAAATTTTTTAGTTTCTAAAATTCTATTATTTATATCTTTTTTTTTTTTTTTTCCTTCTCCAATTTTAAGCATATAGTTAAGAGAAGCTATCTATCTTCCAAATTCTTATAAATATATTTTTGTTAATATTTTTTTTTTATCTAATATTATTATATCTCTAAAACAATATTTTATATTAATATCGAAATTTCATATTATTTTCTTCATTTTATAATCATTCCTTTTATTTTCTCTTTTTATTAATTTGCAGAATACAACAATTCACATTCTCGTATTATCAAATAATAATTCATCTTTTCTTTTTTTATAAAAATCAAATCATATAAAAATATATATTTCTATATATTTCATTATATTTATATCCCACCTCTCAAATACCCAAATCAACATAAATTTCAATAATCAATATTCTCAAAATATTAATTTCTTCCATATCCCAAATATCCCTCCCAAATATTAATTCATTAAAAAATCAAACATAATATGTTTCCTTCACAATTTTATACACTAATTTCATACAATAATATATTTTAAAATAACAAATATGTCGCACCATCATATTTAGATTAATTTTCTCAAATTATTATAGTCCTTGGAATCTATGTTGATGCAGCTTTCATATTGATAATGTTTTTGCAATGCAGAAATCCGCAGCTGAATCACGCAGTCAGCGTCACAAAGGCAGTTGCGATCGCAAGTACCTCAAGATGACTCACGATGATGATTGCGTGGCATGCTCCAAGTTGGGAAACGACCAAATTTTGAACTAGTTCTCTAGGAAATCACAAAAGCTCTTCCCAGCCTGATCTACCTGCTTGACCAACATGCTTCATGCAGCACAACACTTTTGCTATCCGCAGCAAGCCGGAGCTCTCGAGAGCAGGCGCAAGTTTTTGCGGCAGTGCAGCGTAGACTGTTCACATGCTGCAAAGCAGTTCCCCAAATGAAGTCAACATTGCTCATTAACACAGAAGGATAGTTCTAGCCCTCAAGACATGGCCTATCCGAGGTTTAGGGAACCTATGCACTGAGCACTGTACGAGATTGCCAAAACCATTCTGTACAACAGGCCAGTTGGATCACTGGCCGACCCCTCAAGAACCACCAGTCCTTCCCTGCTGACCTTCCTCTGACTCAAAGGTGCCAACAACTCTCTCTTTGGCGGCTGCGTAGCCTTCTGCCAACTTCTCCTTCGCAGCATCATATCCATGCACAAGCTGCTCTTTCGTCTTTTGCTTGGCAGCCTGGCCCTGCGCAAGCATCTCCTTTGATGCCTCTGACATCCTCTCCTTCGCTGAATCATATCCATGCACAAGCTGCTCTTTCGTCTTTTGCTTGGCAGCCTCGCCCTGCGTAAGCATCTCCTTTGATGCCTCTGACAGCTTCTCCTTCGCTGAATCATATCCATGCACAAGCTGCTCTTTCGTCTTTTGCTTGGCAGCCTCGCCCTGCGCAAGCATCTCCTTTGATGCCTCTGACATCCTCTCCTTCGCGGAATCATATCCATGCACGAGCTGCTCTTTCGTCTTTTGCTTGGCAGCCTCGCCCTGCGTAAGCATCTCCTTTGATGCCTCTGACAGCTTCTCCTTCGCTGAATCATATCCATGCACGAGCTGCTCCTGTGCAACCTCCAGGCCCTTTCCCGCCATCTCCTTGCACCGCGCGGCGGTGGTCCCCCCCAACGTGACAGTGCATCGGAGCATCCGACTTCAGGCAAACACATAATGAATGGCAGTGGCTGGAGTGGTTGACGGAACAACCTAAACTCACCCTTGACACGTCAACTCTCTGCACGACGTCTTGAATGATGAAAATGCAAACATCCCCTCCTTGGAAGCCTCGTAGGCCTCGGCAGTCTTTTCCTGCGCACTCTCCAAGCCCTGCTTCATCTGTTTCGCGCTGTCAGACGCTTGGGCCTCACTCATCTTCTCCTTGCCGGAGGCGATGACCTGCTCTGCTGTCTCCTTTGTGGTCGCATAGGCTTGGCTTGCGGCATCCTTACTGGCGGTGTAGGCCTGATCCGCAGTCTCCTCGGCCAAGGGCAAACCATTCGCACGAAGCCAACCCTGGACCAACGCTACACCCAGATCCGACACGGAGTTTGCTCAAGCTCGCCATGCCCTTACAGACCATGTGAGTCGACCACCAAGAATTAACCTTTCTCGCAGCCAAGCCCGCTAGCAATGAGCCTCTGAAAGGGATGAGGAGTTGGTTTTGCCTGGGATTGCTTGAGACAGACAGTCTCTTGAAGTTTGCCCAGAGCTCATTTGGGACGTCACTGACATCAACATCTGTGAGACTGATCTGGGCCTGCCACCACAAGTCCTCACATTATAGCTTTTGTGTTGGGTGGCAGGGCATTCAACGGCTGTGAACTCTCCCTCCCTCTGAATACTATAGGTATGTTTTCTGTGTGTACACGTCTCTTTTCTCTCCTTCTTCCTTCCTTCCTTCCCTTTTTGTTTTTAGTACATCTTTAGTGCAGTATAGCGCACTATTTCTTTCTTTTATGTTTGTTCCTTATTTTCTCAATCTCCTTTCTTACTGCAATCCATTATTTTCCTTATTCGGTTTTGTTTTGTTTCTTTCAATGATTTCTCTCTCAAAGGTTGAGCTACTTGCAGTTGAATGGCAGCCTCGAGAAAAACTGATTGCTTGTCAAACTCATTGAGCCACACGTGTTGCATACATTATACCATTTGTCAACGCGATGTTTCAACGTGTTGTCAATCTGAAATCACACAACAACGCAATACAGTACACTATCCTGTTCATACTCGGAGCTTGTGCATGCCTCTCGCAAAACATTGAGCTCTTGCTTACCTTGTTTCTGGCCTAAGGGTTCGGCTTTTCTGAAATGTCCGAAAATATCCACCAAACGCCATGTTGTTCTGCGCTGTCTAGTGTCTGTCCTCTCCAAGTCATAAGTCTCGTGTCGGTTGCTGAAATCCAGGAACGAATTCAGCACATGCCCAAAGAGACGGGGCTACGTATGAGTTACACGCCTCTTGGCCTTGCAAGCACGGGCCGCGCAAACTATATGCCAAATAGGTCGACACTTGCCCAACATATCCTGTTGGGTCACAGTAAGTCATGGCTGCTAGGAAATCAACTTGCCACTGACCGGCCTCGACAGCTGAACCCTTCCAGGTCTCCTGAACCTTCTTCTGCATGTCTGCGCTCGACATCGCTCCGAGCACTTAACGGGAGACGCGGTTCACCTTCAGATCCGGGGCCTAGAGAATTTTGAGGTTTTCGGGCCGAAAGGAAGCGGCGTCATAAGCGGAGGTGCCGGGTATGGTCGCAGCTCCCTTCTTTGAATCACGTCATGCTCATCTCAATTGATTCTCATTGCATCCATGACAATGCACTCATACCAATTGCTCCGATCCTTATCAGCCCTAGGCAAAGTTGATCGCAATGGATAGTGGGATGATAGATTTCCAGCAGTCCCCCACACGCCCTGGCTGGGACTCGAACTTCAACTGCGCACAAATGAGTCAAAATCAATCCTGCACTCCACTGACAAGCACAAACAGTATTTGCCCCAGATCTACTGGTGATTGGACTCCCTTTTGAAACTCTTGAAAGGCATCTCCCTTTTACTCAGGTTCTCTTTGAGTTTCGATCCGGTTATTTGGGAAGCCAAACACATGGGGTGTGTCGAGCCGCCGATACGCGCAGGGAATACTAAGAAGGGCACCTACTTTTGACAAACCTTCACATGCGGATGGACAAAGCGTGGATGAATCCCTCTGAGGGCTGGTTGATAAACCTCAAGCTGACTCCGGATGAATACTCTGTGTCATGTGGGGATGTTCCTGGTGTTGGGGAAGACCCCAACCCCACCAACCCCAACCCCAACCCCAATTCCACCAACCCCACTTTTGGAGGGCCCATTTTCCCATTTTCCCCCACTGAACCGGGGGTTGCAATTCATCTGACCTCTGCCGGAGCTCTGAGCGCCCTGCTCCAAGCACCGGGCCTCGGGAACGAAGCCGCTCCCACAAAAACTGGGCCCTAGGCTTCAACCCCCATGAAACGAATGGCAAGGACCCAATTTGGATGACAGTTTCTTAGGTAAATCATGGTTCTACGAAGCCCCCATTGCTTCAATGGTGGTTTGAACCCCACATGAAAGGGCCTTTCCCCTTTTTCGGAATTTCCTCCCCCCCCCCCCCCCGCCCGATGTTTGTTGAATCGCTGATCAACCTGAGACGAAACAAGAGCTTGGCTTCCCACCATAGCCTGCGAAGCTGTACAGCAGCACAGCACAAAAGGGCCCCAGCAAGCGGCCAATGTAGGCCTGCCCAGTTCCCTTTTTGGGCGCACAGGCCCTCCTCCCCTCCCCGGCAAAATGTGGGTGGGTTTGAAACAAAAGGAAACAATACCATCTTGGGGAAAAGACACACACACACACACCCGAATGCCGACAACTTCCTTTTTCCTCTTGCTCACGCGGCCCTTTGGCCACATGAAACTACAGATCCTATTCCTGCTGGAAAGCTTTTGTGCTCGAATCGCACGCAATGCCAGCTATTGGTGGGGTGCAGGTGCAACAGTAGACGGCGCTGCTTTGCAGCACTAAGAAAATGCGTCGCAGCTGCTTTGCCAAGCAGTGCATTTTTGAAGAAGCTAGTTCTTTTTGAGTCCGACAAACAAGTTATCTCAAAACGGCGATCGCTCAGAATCAGGGGATAATATCTGTGCCCACATCCTCCACAATGTGATCAATGTGATCGTCCAGAACTTTGCCGCAGACCAACACGAAGCTGCTACCAGTCTGCAGGAGCCCTGATACAGACCCTATCAGGACAATCGCATCTGATGCACAAAGTGCCTCCAGGGGCCGAGCGAAACAAACACCACGAATCCATGTGACCCAAGGTCCTGGACAATTGAACAAACCGGTCAAAACCAAGTGGGTCAGTGCCATTCCTTATGATACATGGCCTCTGTCCTTTTCACCTCTGACAGCGGTTTATGGACACAAGCCATACGACTCTCGCGCCTGTACGTTCGCTCCTTCAGGGCACTCCGAGACCAAGAGGGCAATCAGTGAAGCAACGAAGGAGAAGGTGGTAATCATCCCCGTGACTTGGACCAAGCACCCAGACGTGGCATCCTCACAGTCTCTGGAAACGGGACCAAAACCGATTCGGTCTCTCACGGGCAAGCGGCCAAGCTGCCTTTTGGTTCTAAAGGTGCACATTCATTTCATTCCATCCCCACACCAGCTAAAACCTCTACCACGACAAAAGCATTGTTTTGGGGGGGGACTCGCCAGGAAAAATATGGGGTGGTTGTGTCCAAAAAATGGGTTGAAAGCAATGCGCGAGTCAGAAAATGTAGGAACCGGACTCGCTCACCAACTCCCTTTGGCTACCCCTTTTGGCCACGGCCGGGCAGCGGTGGTGTGGCCGTTGAAGTCTTTTTCTCCCTCATTGCAAGGGCTGTGCATCGCGGCGGAGTAGAGGTCCAAGAGGCCTCTGCCGAAGAACATCCTCAGCTTTGAGCTGGTTGCTGGTTCTCAATGGGAGTTCCTTTCTCTGACACCCGTTTTACCTTCGAAGGGAAGCCAAGAGGAAAAAACACAAGTTTCGGGATAACCCTATTTTTTGAGGACCACCCGATGAAGGGAATGACCGTGAACCATGCCCGTGTTCCTTTGCAGGGATCCATGGGTCTTGCTGGTGCGAAATCGGCAGGGAATGAGAAATGGCATGACCCTTTCAAAAACCATCCAACTGGCGGTTTCCTTTAAGGAGAGCCCTGGGCTCATTCCCACATTCCCTACCTATCGCACCAGCATGTAGTCCAAGCTGCGAAGTGAGCCCCACATCAAAGACACAGTTGGCGATCTCTGCTTTCCTGAACTCTGAAGCGGACAGCTTGTTCCTGCGCACGGGCACCACTTTCCAAGTGCCCAAATTTGAGGCTGCAAGCGCTGTTACCCCATTTGTCCAACTCCTTTCACCATATGGGTTGGTCTGTAAAATAGTAGAACCCCCCTCCGCTTTTTAGTTCTCTTGACAACCAACCAGACGGGAGGTGGGGGGTTTGCAAAAAATGACAATTATATTTGGGTATGTATGTGTGTGTGTGTTAAAGAAGATGGACCCCCCAAAATGAATTGGTCTTTGGAACGTTCAACCCTGACAAGGGGATATTGATTTTTTTTGCGCATCCTGCCGTTCTGTCGGACTCGGCCTCATCTCCTGGATCTGCTCGATGGAGAGTGTTTCTCGGAGTGGTAGGGAGGGCAGCTTGGAGACACCTGATCCCCGAAAATCTCATGAGGGTAGGTGACAACATGTCTGTCTTTTTTTCGGGGACCCCATCGGTTTTCCTTTTGGTTTCCTTTTAAGACCACAAAAAGGGTCCCTCAAAAATACACAGCATAAACACCAAATAAAGAAAAACTGCACCAGCACCCCAAACTGCATGCGCCCCAGCACCCGGCCGTCAATCTCGCAAAAAGGCGCCCAAGCAGCAACCCAAAACAGCACCTGCACCAGCACCTCAAATTGCATGCCCCCTAGCACCCAGCCGTCAATCTAGAAGTTAGAGCCCCACAGCTTTCAGCTATCTGGGGAAAAGACACCCCACGATGGATCGAAGAGCAATCGAGGGTCACAAATGTTAGCAAGAGCTTGCGCGTAACGGGCTCCCATTTCTTTCCCTGAATTCCCCTTACCAAGGGAGACGCACCTTCTATGGGCCAAGGTGATATGTTAAGCCGCCAAGAAGGAGGAATCTCGGGTCGCAACCTGGCAGCATTTTAAAGGGCGCCGAGCGACTCCCCTGCGCTGGAAGAACAAACTCCGTGCCGTTGAGGCGTCGAGGAGGTCCGGGTCCAGGCGGTGGCTTTAAATATTTGAACCACTCCGGATCGCTGTCCTCAGATGCTTCAACCCGCGGCAGGTTCTGCAAAGGCTGTCGATCAAAAACACATCCCGAACATCCTAAGCTATTTCACATCTTAAAGGGCTGACATGTGGCACCTCTCTTCGGATCGTCCGCGGTTATTCAACGTCCGTCCATGTGTTTGCTTGTGTTGGTTCCTTTTTTGCCGCCACATCCTCACCTTGAACATCATGACGACTAGACATCACTTTGCATCCCACCCGCTTTTTCGGGTTTCTACCCCCACGAAATGATTGATTTGCGCAGATCCCTCTGCAAATTCTTTACACTTCCAGGTGGTATCCACAAAAACCACCTTTGGAGCTCCCAATGGCACATGGGGATGGACACAGCTTCAGGACCGTTCCGGGCTGGCGAGCTCCATTCTGCCCCTGGTTCAACATGTGTCAACATGGCACCTTGGCAAATGGAACCAAAGACTAAAACCTGCGTAACACAGGCTGCTTGATTTTGAGCCACGCCCACAGGATCTTCCAAATATACCTTATGGATGCGGAACCTCCTGTTTCGAAGAAACATGGCCATCCATCCAGGCACAGCCAGCTGCGTCGCTGCCCGACAGCTATTCTCCAGCGAGGCGATGCTTCCCCCCAAGATGCTCAGCACCTCGCTCGCTGGAGTTGGAGATCTTGGGAAATCCAAACAGAAAGGGACCCTGTGAGCGTTGGGTTTTGCACACACCTAATTTTGCTGCATTCTGGCCAAAACCGGGAAAAACACTTGAGAAATCGAAAAAACAAAAAGAAAGGTTCAATGGGCAGAGGGAAGCCAACACATGGGTGGGTGGCAAACAACAAACAACAAACACAATCGCAAACCCAAGCAAACACGCGCAAAGCCTCTCACGCACACGCCCATACCTACACCGGCACCTACACTTTGACCTACTCGAACTGCCGTGTTCCTGCTTCTGTTTAATGGTTTCATGTTTTTTGTTCTACGACTCACGATTTTTTTTGCAGGTTAAGGCCCCCTCCCCCGTTAAAAAGCAAACTTCTCCCACCTGAAGGCGCTAGCTTCAAGATTGGGACAGGTCCGATTTCGTCTAAACATAGGCCTCACCAAAGGTCCACATCGATAGCTTCATCAGATGGAGGTGATTGCATCGATAGATTGGATGAGGACATAAAATCGGCCTCGAATGAAGGTAACCATGAAACGAAAGATGCCTAGACTGGAGAATGGATTCATTTTTGTAGTGGTGAGTCTATTCATCACTTCAAGTTGGGCAAATACCTTGGGATTGGATTGGACGAGAGAAGGTAACGGTGAGTCACGAGCCAAATCAGTAAGAAGCACAGCAAGCAAGCAAGCAAACAAACAAACACAGGCACCACACAAACACACACACACACACACACACTTGAACAAACAACCAACCAACCAACCAAACAAAGAAACAAACACAAGCAAGCAAGCAAGCAAGCAAGCAAAGCAAAGCAAAGCAAAGCAAAGCAAAGCAAAGCAAAGCAAAGCAAAGCAAAGCAAAGCAAGCAAGGGAGCAAGGAAGCAAGGAAGAAAGAAAGCAAGGAAGCAAGGAAGAAAGGAAACAAGCACAAGCAAGCAAGCAAGCAAGCAAAGCAAAGCAAAGCAAAGTAAAGCAAAGCAAAGCCAAGCACGCAAGCACACACAAGCAACCACACAACAAAAAAACAAGCAAACAACCAGACAAACACACAGAAACAACCAACAAAAACAAGGAAGTAAACAAGCAAACAAACAAGCAAACAAAAAAACAACCAAAAACAAACAAACAAACAAACAGAAAGACCGACCGACCGACCGACCGGCTGACAAACAAACAATCACGAAGGCACGCACGCCTGCATGCATGCGGGCATGCATGCGGGCAAGCAAGCAAGCAAGCAAGCAAGCAAGCAAGCAAGCAAGCAAGCAAGCAAGCAAGCAAGCAAGCAAGCAAGCAAGCAAGCAAGCAAGCAAGCAAGCAAGCAAGCAAGCAAGCAAGCAAGCAAGCAAGCAAGCAAGCAAGCAAGCAAGCAAGCAAGCAAGCAAGTGGGCAAGCAGGCAGGCAGGCAGGCAGGCAGGCAAGCAGGCAGGCAGGCAAGCAAGCAAGCAGGCAGGCAGGCAGGCAGGCAGGCAGTCAGGCAGGCAGGCAAGCAAGCAAGCAAGCACACACGCACACACTCTCACACACGCTCACAAATGGCGTCAAACTGGTGACCCCAATCGGTCGATTTCCTTTGAGCGTCCCTTTTGAACCATCCCCAAACGGTACCCAGCTCCCTTTAGGCGGACTGGAGCGGTTCCCTCGCCGAGCTGCCGCTACGAGATTCCCGGAGACCGCGGCACAAAGCGCTGGCACGTTCCTTGGACCGTCGCGGCGCGCGTTTCGGATCCGCGATGTTTTTCTGCCGAGGCACAGAGTCGCCTGGCACGAGGCGATGGCATCTGACAGGAAGGAGACCAGAAATCCCAGCATCGCGAACAACTGGGCGACAGGCAAATGCGAGTCTGCTGCGACCAATGCACGTGCAAATGCAAAGTTTGCCACACAGGTCCTCCTTGCAACCAAGCATCCCCCTGAATGGTGGCAGCGCAGGCAGCTTTCTGCGAAATTGTGTCCTGCGTTTTGCCTCAGGACAAAAAAGGCATGGGATCCGTCTTTTATTGAGGCTACCCTTGTTTCCTGAGTTTAAAGGGGAACCGAAAGGAAACCATTTCTTGGACAAAACACATGTGTCAATTTGCGGTGCCTTTAGACTTCCCTTGAAACACATCTGGATATCATACCATCATTTTAGCCGGGTGCAAAGATGTAATTGAACACATCCGGCCAGCCTGTTCTCAAATCAACTTTGATTTCTGTCAAGCGGCATGAGTTCTGAACAAAGTACAGGACTGTCCCTGTGCGCGCAACTGCCAGGACAACACCTGCGAGTGAGATGCATGAGAGCGAGCGCAACCCGAGACGAATGCACTACAAGCGGGCGAGCTGGCCTACAATGTCGAAGGAGCAAATTGCTTCCGCTTTGGGTGATAGGTCGCCCAGCCGTCTTTGCAGCAGTGAGCTATTCCGGTGATGGATTTGTCTCTGGCCTCGGCAATGGCTGAAGCTCAACTACTTGTTTCAGCCTAAAAATGATGTTGAGTGCTTCATGGCGCATGCGTTTCCCCACGAAACACAGCAAGGTTTTCCGATAGCCTGCCTCTAGGCCAGGACTTCAGTTCTCACGAACCATCTGCTGTCTTTCAACCCACCCACCCAACCACCCGCCAACCAACCAACCAACAATGGTTTGGCAACTCCCCCTTATGGTTCAGGGGCGGGACTAATCAAGGGTCGCCATTAGGGACAACAAGATAACTTGGTGTATTTTCAGGGTATCCTTCTTGGGGTTGCTTTAAAGCAAACAAACAGTAAAACCGAAGCCATTTTGGGAGCCAGAACCCACTTATTGCTGGCTGCGGAGAACGAAGGGAAACCAAGCATTCAGCATTTCAGGGCGGAAACCAACACAACCCGCGCTTTCCGCACCAGTTGGGATTGGCGGCTTGTGTCGGTTTGTCGACCAGTGCTCATAGGATTTGCTTCAATCCAAGTGCTGTTTGAAGCGGCTTCTATCCATCACTGTACTTGGTATGACCACTCTGATTGACATGAGTCATGATCAAAACCCGGTATTAAAATGGTCTACCCAGAACCATGTGAAGAATCAAGAAGGCGGCCGCAGCTATTTATGGTTGGGATTGTCCCTTACTAACCTTCATCTACCCGGGTTTTGATTGTGGGTCACATGCAAACTGCAACGCCGCATTCGGAACTTGGCAGGACTCCAAGGTTGGATTCGGAAACTGGAAAGATTTGGAAACTGGAACGGACGGATTCGGAAACTACCAAAGCCTACCAGGCCAAATGATACTCGCGGCTCAAGGCACACACTCTGAACTCCGCACACGCCTGCCAAATGATCGGCGCAGCCGCTCAAGAGATTTTGACAGTTCCCACATCCGGAGCCTGGATTCCGAATCATAGTTTCCAAACCTGGTTGCAGTTTCCCGACATGTCCGAGTCCCGCTTTCAGTTTGAAAATCCAGGTGCGCTTTTGGGCTTCTCATTTGGAGTCCTTGAGTGGGCCTGCTTAGCAATTGTCTGCACTGCTGACAGCGCGCTCTTGAGGGGTTATCATCTGCCGGGTCTTGAGCGGGCGTGCATGACATTTGGCGTGTGTGAGCGTGCCCACCCCAGTGCACAGAAATAGTTTCTGAACCGTGCAAAGTAGTTTCTGAGTCGTGCGAAATCGCTTCTGAATCGCGGAATCACCCACCCACAAGGCCGCCCACCCACTCACCCCCGACCCAAAAACCCAGAGCAACCCAGCGACCCACACACCCAGCGACCCACGCACCCACCTAGCCGCCCCCCCGCCCACCCGTCGCAGCCAGCCAGACAGCCAGACAGCCAGCCAGCCAGCCTGTTTGATTGCCGTGGTTGTCATGAAAGTGAAAATACGACGGAGCAAGCCAATGCACTGAAGAGGAAAATCCCAGGCGAAAGATTCATATTAGCCACTGCAGCAGTAGACTGTAGGACTAATTTTGAGATCGTACTTCTGACCTGTCAACTTCCGATAGAGAGCATAATTAGTGATCTTGAGCGTCTTGGCTAAAGCCAGCCAGCCAGCCAGCCAGCCAGCCAGCCAGCCAGCCAGCCAGCCAGCCAGCCAGCCAGCCAACCAGCCAGCCAGCCAGCCAGCCAGCCAGCCAGCCAGCCAGCCAGCCAGCCAGCCAGCCAGCCAGCTAGCCAACCGCCAGCGAACCAACCACACATGCACGCACCCGAACCTGCAATGCCCCAAGTCAAATCCGTCGAAGACTCTGGGCCTCTTGGGCCTCTTGGGCCTCTGAGGCCTCTGAGGCCAGCGCGCTCTTCAAGTGCGGTCACCATGTCTTGCAATTCATCCAAGCTCAAGGCCAGGTTGGTTTGGTGTGCATCGGCCTTCCTGAACGGGTCGACAAGGAGGCGGACGAGCAAACGAGCGAAGATTCGGTCACATGCTGACCGACTCACTGCCCACTGGTAGGCATGCAGCTCAAGTTGGGCCAGCCAATTGCCTCTTGCGGATGCCAAGTGGCGCCAACACCAGCAAACATGGCACTATCAGCGCCAGCAACTGACCTATCATTGAAAATGGGCATGCGCTCACCTCTGAGCCACTGACTGCTACAAGACATGCAAAGCAACTCGCTGCCTTTGATCGACTTGCTCCAGCGACCGCTCAACCCACCCCGGTCAGTCGGCCGGACGGCCAGGCAGTCAGTGAGTCGGCCAGTTAGCCAGTGGCGACCCACGCCTTCAGCCACTCCAAGATCACTATGGAGTGCTCTGCATCCTTCTGCTGGTACCTATGCGTCATAGGGATTTGGAGCGCCAAAATGGTGGCGTCACGTTTGAACCAACCTAAGACTTAAGAAAGAGTACCCAGAAAACAAAGAGCACAAACACAAGCACAAACACAAGCACGCACAACAAACGGAAACACAAACTCCATTGCCTGAACTATGATGGGAAGAGAACGCGCAAGCACGGGGCCCGCGTTGAGGGGAGCAAAGCTGAACATGCCATTCGAATCATGATGTGCAGCCCTACCGGTTCGTTGAGTGAAAACCACCCGGGGGCCCTTTCGGTACATCAAACAAACTTGGGCTGCTGCTCAAAATGAATTTCGGCCCCTTTTGGCACAGAAACCCCCAACAAGTAGCCATTTTGTGGAAATTCTCTCCGGTTTCGGGACCACCTGACGCGTCGAACTCGGACTCGGCGCCTCCGATATGGCTCACGTGGCCCCTTTTCGTTTCTCAACCCCGAGCCACGCTCGCCGCCCTTTGGACCCCCGGCAGCTTGGCCGCGTTGAACGGCGCCGCCATACCTCAGAGGATATGAAGCCAAAATCCACCTGCGAGGGTTGCTCAACAACGGGCTTTGGAGTTGCAAATGTTGTTTTCCTTTGGCGCGAAGTGTCTGATCTCTTGTCAACTCCTTCCGTGGTGAAAATCCATGAAAACACTTCGGTTTTCTCGACCCGCATTCAAATCGGGTTTTATCCACTGCTGCGCTTTGTTTGGATTGTGGAACCATCCACAGTATCACCATGTATTTCCTGTGCTCGGTGTGCTCTCCTTCTCAAACGGAGGAGTTTTCGCATGAGCAGCCACTCACGCATTGGAACAGGCCAGAGGTACAAATTTCTGCACACAGGAAGGGCTTGTCACGGCTTGCTCCGGTCATCTGGGTGTGGGTCAGAAATAGGTACCCAAAATAGAACCCTGGAAAATGGAAGCAAGGACTAAAACCTGCGGTCCAATTCCTGGTGGTTTAATCTTGACCCATACCACCCATACCCATCCTTCAACTCGGGTTGGACACCCCAGCGGCGCAAGCACGATCCGGAAAAAATGCCGCATCCTGGAAACGGTCTGGCGAAAAGTGGAAGATGTGCCTTTCAGGCAATGCCTGGCTGTTATCTCGCAGTGATGACTCGTGCTTCCAAAGCAAAGTCTGAGAATGAGCCACAATCAACACCTGATACTAACATGATCTACCAAAAACCATGTAAAGAACTGATAGGGCGGACATGCGCGCCTATTTGTGCCTCACTTTCCTTCACTTACCCGGGCTGTGGCTGAAATAGGATCCAGGCACTCGTGCGTGCGAAAACTTCTCATTCAAACTCCTCCTGCCAGCTTGTAGGCCTCCTTAGCCCGTTCGATATGTGACAAAAGGAACCTGGGCATGGTTGAAGCCAGCTCCACTTTTCACCCCCGCAATGACTTGAACCCAGGGGTGAGTCATGTACCCCAAAAAGGGAACTCTGGGCTCAAGTCTATTTGTAGGTCGTCCAAACATGGAACCCTGGTTGACACCTGCCTTATGCCTGTCTGCGCTTGCTCTCCGAGCTGCCTGCCCTTTCCGGCGCCCTTGCCTTTCTTGCGGTCGCCCCCCCAAAGGGAGGGGTCCGGAATGCTGTCCTCGGCTCGGGCAGACGCAGGCGCTTGCGCACACAAGCTGAACTGCCCAAGCGCCAAGTGCACGTTCCTGTGGTCCAATCCCCATAGGTGCCAATAAAGCCCAAAAAGGCCGAAGGGCGCATAAAGCCTACTGCGGTCTGGTGGAGAACGCTCTCCGCTGCTTCCGCTTTTTTGCCCTTCACTTTCGTGCCAAGCTTCGGCCACCAGCTCCCAGGGCAGCTCATGACAAGGCGAGGCCATGGTGCAGGACAGAAATCCGGTGTCCAACTCTTGGATGCGCTCCTGAGAGATGCGCTCAGAGCCCGCGCTTTTTTTTGCGCAGCTACCCAAAATGGAGCACTCACAGTGGGTACCTTTCCGGCTCCTGCCGAGGTTGCCGGGGGAGATGGACACAAGTCCATTCTGCACTTCAGGGTTACTTGCTGGTGCTGAGTAGGGAATGAGGGAATGAACCTGAAAATTCCCGAATAAAGCAAATGGTTTATTTCGGGGGGTCAATCCATTTCTCTTTGCTTGCCGATTTCGCACCAGCAAGGTTCAGTATGGGAGGGGTAATGTTGACCCCTTTTTTTTTTTAAGAAAACTCCTATCGGGTTGTTCCCCTCCGAAAGTGAGGAATCCCCACCAAACCCAGGGACACCCGCCCGCCGATTCCTCCCGGTCGTTCCCTGGACCAAGGCTCCATGTGCCGCTTTGTAAGCTCGAAGCCGTCGGCCATGTTGAGCAAGATGCGCTCGGGGTGGATGGATTTCGGAATCGGCGCGTAGCCTGTGCGCGGCTTTTATTTTGGCAAACACGAGTGGCCTTTTCGTGAGGGTACCCCTTTTAGGGTTGGTTTACCCCTTGTGGAGACATCAAAATTGCTTGTTTCCCCACTGCATTGGGCATTTGGCGAAGTTGTTCGTGCTTTTTTTGCGGGAAATTTCGAGCTCATCCCATACGTCCCGCCCAAAGGGACCATAGACATGTTGATCCACTTAAGGAATATCCCATCTCCATGATTCTATCACTTTCAAGGATTTTCAAGGGTTTTTCACAGAGATGCTGCACTTTAAATTTGGTTGTCCACACACGTTCGTGCCCCCCCAACATGACCTCCGGCGAAGCGAGGCATGGCCTTTTTGCAGGCTCCAGCGAATCGCCAGCTCGGCCTCTGTCCGTCCCAGTTCCTGCCGTCAAAAATATGACCCCATGTTGGACCCTGCCGAAGCAAAAACCACCCGTTTAAAGGATACCCCCCCCCCCCCGCCCCCCCCCGCGCCCAAAATCGACAACCCTCCAATTGAATGAGATAGGCTGATCTCTTTGATTGGAGTCACAAGTCAAGTCTACCCAAATGGAGATCATGCCCACTAAACAGAACCCTGGCAAATGGAAACAAGGACCAAAACCTGCTGTCCACCGGTGGCTTTAATGTTGACCCATAATATGGCCATGAACTCAAACAAGGAACCACGTCAAAAGTTGGTCGACATGAATCAGAAGGTCCCCCACTGAAATTCACACCCCTTTGAACGCCCCAAGTTGACGCTGATGCCTGGGCCATCTGGGCCAGCTCGCTCCGGCCAAACATCCGGCCCCGCGCCAGAGGGGCCATGCACATGGTGGCGATGCCTCGGAGACGTCTCTGCCTCTCACGCGCCCATTTTTTACCCCCAAAATTCGCACGAGCTTCAACGTTGAGTTCCCTTTTCTAACCCCCGAAAAGGGTACCACTGCCCCAAAGGTGCGGTATGGCTCCCTCGATGGTTTGTGGAGCGCACAGCACTCGAGCCTTTGTGACCACGGCTTCCTTAAGAACTTAGACAACACAAGTCAAGCTAGAGCAAAGGTTAAGCCCACCTGCCGTAGTGAATTCTTCAAGAGCTTCAACCATAAATCAAGTGCTAATTGTTGCAACGAGTTGCCCTAGGGTGCGGATTTAGTTGACCCGACATGGGTCGACATCTGGAGCTTCATGTCCCACCAAAAGTGGCGCTGTGCAGCCAGCGCCGCCATGCTGAGCGTGATAGGCCGTCACCTCCGGCAGCTGACGCCAGCAGTGCACCTGCCGTAGGAAAACCCGTGTTTACCCAGCAAAATGTCCGCGGCAACTCGAACATGTCCACGCGTTCGCTACTATCAAAGGACAAGAGACACGCAAATGGATCATTGAACCCGGCATGGTCACATGTGTGAAGTTCCATACTTTTGGGGTACGGGAAGGGATCTTTTCACATGAGACGTTATCAATCGACAATGGATTTTCGGCCGAAAGGGCAAAGGGCACACTGACCAGTTCAGACCGGCGAGGCTTCTGAGGATCGGTGTGATTTCATGAAGACCATGCGTGAAGTGTGTTTTTTAGCTTTGCTCAGGTCTAAGCCCTTGGCTGCCCTCAGATCCCCTCTAAAAGTTTAACTTTTAGTGGGTCTAATGGAAACTACCACTAAACACGAAAAGGCCAAAAAGCTAAGGAACCGGATGGCTGGGAACCACCAAGCCATTTCAAAGCATTGTCCCCTTTCTCCCTCGCTGTCTCACAGCGGGGTTTCCGCTTCAAACCGCTCGAACCGGCTCGTACTGCTCGCCTCGATCTGGTTCACCTCTGGCAGCTCGAGGCCGGCCTGCCGCAAGCCTCCGGCTGCTCTGCTGAATGCCGAAAAGCCGAGGTCCTTTTTGGGTTGACTCCACGGGGAAAAAAGGGCGAATCGTTGTAATCAGGTGCCCTTTGGGAAAATAGATGGCCCTGGTAGCTGATTCAACCACCAGGTAAACCAGGGCCCCCTATTCTTCAACCAAATCAACAAAAAGGGAATCAGCTGTGGAGCCCGCTGCTGAAATAGATGGGACCACGTTGGGCGCCATGACTAATAACATAATAAAAATAGGGGTGGCCCCCTCTCGAGCCAACCCAAGGCCGCCCTCTGAACAAGTGGCCGGGTCAAAACTTACACGATCTTCACCCCTCTCCGGATCTCCCAAACCTTTCCAGAGCTGGGTGTGGGTCAAGATTCAACCAGGGCACCACAGCTGACTGTTGTCAAAAATAGTTGGGAACGGGTCCCGAAATGGGTTGCCCTAGCCCATGTTTCCATTAGGGCAACCCATTTTGGGACCCGTTCCCAACTATTTTTGACCACCACAGGTTTGTAGGTTTTACCTCGGGGCACCCACCGGAGGTGTCCACCTTCCAGTTGGTTAAGACCCCTGGAAGAAATAAAAAGATCTCCAGCAGTGATAGATTCCCTTTCAAGCCAACAGGGGAAACAAAGTAGAAAACGGGGGGGGGGGGGGAGGAAAAACGAAGAAAAAAACAAAAAGAACACTTGAGCGAATGGAAGCCACCAACAGCCCAGGTTCCTTTCCAAGATCGGCTCGCGGATTCGCCCGCCCCTTGCCCGCCTTCCAGCTGCGCCAGGCCGAAGTTCGAGACCCCCACGGCCCTGCAGAGGCCTTCCTCCCGGAGCTTCAGCAGCAGGGACCACACCTCCTGAAGCGAGAGGGGTCCCCTCTTGCTTGGTTTGTTGCTCTTCTTTTTCGTTTTGCTTTTTGGGTGGGGGGGGGGGGCCGAAACATTTCACCCCCTATTTGGGGTATCCGCGGCAAAATCGTTGCCGCTGAAACTGAAAGAGAGCCTCTGCTTCCATGGGCACCCTCCTTGATCCTGCCAGCCCTGGGGTTGTGGATGAGGTACAGGTCGACGTAGGAAGCTCAGCTCGGGCAAAACGGCAAGCCAAGGAGCTAGCTTCAGGCGGCTTCAGGCGGCTTCAGGTCCGATCTAACCCATCAATCCCATCTTTCCCATCTTTCCCATCTTTTCCACTATAGACGTCCACAACCCCAGGCAGTTTTCACGCAAAAACAAAGGTTTTTTTTGCGGGGGGTGGTCTGTGTAATTTGTGACTGTGACCCTCTTTGA